AAATATATTTTTTTCATTAGGTTAAGAATGATTTTTTTTTTTTTGCGAAATTATTGCATACGCAAATTTTCACTTGCCATATTCGGCAAGAAAAACGTTGTTATTTAAGCCAAAATCGCAATTTTTGCCTATTCGGCACGACATATATATATGAGTGGATATTCCAAATCCTCAGAAGATTATATTTAATATGCTTTTATGTTTGACTTTTGTCCAAAAATTTTTTTTGTTTTAGGCAGGTTAGGATATTGATCATCTTGTTATTTGTATGATTTTTTTTTTATTTCATCTGTGATTAAATTTCCATTTTTTTTATTCATTTCCCTGATGTAAAGTTTGGCCGGGATAACAGTCCATGTTATCATTTCCCTGACAGTTATAATTTACATTATTTACTCAGCAAGTCACTAATGACATGACACAATACAAGTCACTAATGACATGACACAATACAAGTCACTAATGACATGACACAATACTGCTCTGGTAACGGTGAAAAATGAGACTTGTGCAACATTTGGGAATCGTTATTGAGGAAACGTTTCTCCAACCAGTGACTTCTTCAGTCCAATACAGAGAATGTCAATGGAAGATGATGAGGAGTTTGAGGTAATCAGTCCCTCATCCTGGACTCGATGCGTTCAGTCTATCAGTCTTGAGAAATGTACATTTCTCAAGACTGATGGACTGGGGACTGATTATCTCGCACTCCTCATCTTCCACTGTCATTCTCTGTATTGGACTGAAGAAGTCATTTGTTGGCGAAACGTTTTCTCAATAAAGATTCCCCAATATTGCACAAGTCTCATTCTTCAGCTTGATCTTTTTTCAAAACCATTTTCAACAGACCTGGTACGTTTGTTTGATCACAATTGAAATTAACTTTACTGATCATTCATTTCAAATGCATAGCAATTTTTATTCCTAGGTCCTCCGAAAATTTAACAGTTTTGAAATCGTTGACCTATATGCCTCATTGGCTAGTGACCCGTGGTTTCCTCATTGATTCCATGATGTTGGAGGGGTGACCTCTTGCGGGAGGTTCGTTTATGCCAGGTGTGGGGATAGGTGACTCTTGAGGGAGGTTTCCTTGATGCCATGTGTGGGAAGGGATGACCTCTTGAGAGTGTTCCTTGATGCCGATAAGTGGTGGGTAAGGGCATGTACCTCTTAAGGGAGGTTCATTGATGCCAGTGTGTGGGGAAGGGATGACCCTTGAGGAGTTCCTTAAATGCCATGTTATGGGGAAGGGAATGACCTCTTAAGGAGGTTCCTGATGCCATGTGTGGTAAGGATGACCTCTTAAAGGGAGGTTCCTTGACCAGTTGTGATGTGGATGAGGATACTCTTGAGGGAGGTTCCTTGATGCCAGTCTGTGGATAGGAGATTGACCTCTTAGGAGGTTCCTTGATGCAGTGGTGGGGAAGGATGACTCTTGAGGAGGTTCCTTGTCCAGTGTGTGGGAAGGGATGACCTCTGAGAGGTTCCTTGATGCCAGTGTGTGGGGAAGGGATGACCTCTTGAGGGAGGTTCCTTGATGCCAGTGTGTGGGGAAGGGATGACCTCTTGAGGGAGGTTCCTTGATGCCAGTGTGTGGGGAAGGGATGACCTCTTGAGGGAGTTCTTGATGCCAGTGTGTGGGGTAAGGGATGACCTCTTGAGGAGGTTCTTTGATGCCAGTGTGTCGGGGAATGATAAGACCTCTGAGGAGGTACCTTATGCCAGTGTGTGGGGAAGGGATGATCCTCTTAGGGAGTGTCCTGATGCCAGGTGTGTGGGGAAGGGATGACCTCTTGAGGGAGGTTCCTTGATGCCAGTGTGTGGGGAAGGGATGACCTCTTAAGGGAGGTTCCTTGATACCTGTGAGGGGGGAGGGGGAATGTGAATAAATGGTTAACTAAACCGACACATTGATAAACAAGACATCTTTGCAATTTTTGCAACATTTCAGGTATCTTTATTCTTTCAATCTACCAATTCTACCCAAATATTGCAAAAGTGTCTCATTAATCAAGGATGGGGGGGATGTTGACGCAAGGGATTGGATTTGCCCTGGCATCCCTTGGATTGACCGTGCTTGCCTCATATACCCTCAGTTGTTATTTGACACCAACGGGTTTAGAGCTTTCCGCCCTCAGTATTATAATATGGCAGCGATGCGGTTGTATATTTGACTGAGTTTACCATCACGACCCGAGGTTGTGGTCAGCAAACAACCGTGTCCTGACACTGATGATAGCCTGTTACAAGTTAAGCATCCGTTGGGGTATAAAGGATCGCTGCATGGCATTGTATCCTAATATAAGATAATGCTCACACGAGTGTGGATGGAACTGTATCCCTTATATCAGGGGCGTGGTAATGAGTAACCACTGGTGTGCTCTGCTATATACCATCTGTCTACTTACAATGGTGAATGTGGTAATACATGGTCCTGTAGCTGTCCATGTCAGTCACCGCTGTCTTACCTCTCAGTCTCCGTAGTTTGAGTGATATGGGGTTACTAGCCTATGTTAGACTGGTCCAGCTCACACCCACACTTGTCAACTTGTCCAATCTGTTTTTAAAGGTCCCCAAAGTTCTCGGTTCAGTGACACTACTTTGGAGTTTGTTCCACTCGATTCAAACCAACTCGATTATCAAACCAGCGCCTTCCAATATCTTTTTTAAATCTAAAATTTTCCATCTTGAGCCCATTGTTGTGCATAGTGTTTTGGCTAGATATTTTCAGCTCGTTATTTAAATCGCTTTTGTTTACTCGTGTCTTCCATTTGTATACTTCAGTTTTATCCCTCCCTAAATCTAACCCTTTCCAGAGAATGCAGATGAACTGCCCTCAGTCTGTCCTCTGAACTTTCTCCAATTTCTTTACATGCTATCCCTGTGCTCCGTTTCTTGTCGTCTCTGCCCTTCCACCTTTTTTTTTTTAACTTTGTAATTTCAGGGGCTGAATAATAACCACTTGCCACACCAATTCTATGAATAATAATAGGATAGACTAACATCAGGTGAGTTTCCTTGCCGAATATAACAGCAATAACTTGAGAACCTCTCGCTTGATCTAGTAAACAATATCGATGAAAGCTGCGGGAAAGAAAGTCATTACAAAGTCTAGCAACTAACGGAGATTAATTAATGAACGCTGACATTAGTGTGGTTAACGCGTGAAGGTGAGAAGGTGGTGTTGAAAGATCAGAACTTAGGCAGGCGATACAATGTTGTTGATAGTTATTTCGTCAGGGAAAAAGTTGGTAAGGGTCTTCATCATAAGATGACCCGTTCGGTGGTGGCGCCACAATGGCGGAGGTGCCGTGTATCTTAAAGAACATTAAGGTTGGGCAGCCGATGGTTCTGTGGCAGGTCATTACAACAGTGACGGTGGCTAACTCATGCTAGATTCAGTAGTCTGAGTGATCGATAGAAGAATGATGTGGTAGTAAAAGAAGCCTTCCCAGCCCCACTAGTGACAGAAGCCTCCTCATTTCTTCCTGGAGCACACAGCCTCTTCCATGATGGTTCAGTCATCAAGCTCAAGCCAGCGGTGAAGGGAGCCAAGAACTCCATCCCCATAAACATATAACAAACGATCCTTGTTATGACGGACACATGATCAATCTATGCTTTATTTAACACTTGATTAATTTGTTAAGAGGCTCTCCTGAGACACCTGAGGCAGTCGTCATATAAACACAAGCTGATTCAAGACCAGCGTCCTACTGAGAGAAAGTGAGGAAAATTAACACTTCACACTGGTAAACGTAGCAGACTACATATGTAGTGCTTCCCGTGGGCGCGTGCCCAGGATATTTATTATAATATTAATGGTATCGGGGGATTATCGCCCCCTGCGGCCCCGTCCCACACAAGGCATCATATATTGAAAAGGAAAGATCGTTCTGAGAGCTATTGCACATATTGCATTTGTTCGTATGTTGAGGCAGACATTTGTTTCATATTAACGGTAAACAATACTGACAAGCTGATGAATAAGACACATGTGCAACACTCGCGTGTCTTTATTGTGGACAGGTTTGGCCTGTGCAGCAGGTTTCTTCAGTCATAATACAGAGGTGACTTTAATGCTGAAGGGGAAGGGGGGGGGGTAATTGATGCTGATTGTTAAACTTAATTTGATAGTATCTATTTGTGTTGAGCTTACGTTCTTTGTTTTTTATTCTTTGTTGATTTTATCCTAGAAGAAAGAATAAAAAGGCACAAACCCGCACATAGGAGAGAGGAGCTTATGACGACGTTTCGGTCCGACTTGGATTTTATCCTTACTTTTATTGTGTTGTGTATACATGTTTATACCTGTAAGAGCTGATTGATCTACATAATCAAAGTGCTCCGTAAGTGTCACAGTTACTACTGCTGCTACTGATACTTTAATACTGGAGAGACTATTAAAATCCCTCAGTTTTTGTTGAAGGTGGTCAGTCCCTTAGCCTAAAGCAGAGATATGAGGACCAAGATATGCATATCGGAGTCAGAAGCGAGGCGTAGCAGTTGGAAATGGCGTCAAAGATGGGCGGGGCCCACAATTGTAAGTAGATTATGCCCAAAAGATGTTTAGCAAGAAAACTGAAGAAATTCTTTGTAGCAAGATACCACAGTGTTGCTGTGTCAGAGAAGTATCATAGTAATGATTATACAGAACAGAGATGATGAATAAGATCAATGAATAACACTTGGATCTCTTTATTGCCCAAACGTTTCGCTTAGCATGGGAATCATTCATTTATTCGACTAAATAAGCCTGGTGCACAGGCAAAACATTTCAGCACTAAACATGCATATGTGTCGCACAGATATCTCATTAATCAACCTGTCTCGCCTCTTGTAAGTATATCAGTATATCTGGAAAACTTTCTGTAAATATCCCTTAAATTAAAGAACCATTTATTTCTCATTTTATGAGCCTACTTTAACGGAAAATGTTTTGTGTGTGTGTCTGTGTGAGTACAGTAATTATCCAGTTCAGCTTCCTGACAGGTGTAATCTTCAGTGTTTACAGAGGACGAACTACCGACAGTGAAATCCAGCAGACACTTGGTGGTGGTGTTGCTGTCGGTAACCATATCACTGTCGTTTCGTATCCACTGTTACCCCAAAATGACTTGACGACTTTCCGCCAAATAGTTCTTTTGTCACCGCAAACTAACGCTGCGACCGTTGGCGAGATGTATCCTCTGTTTACAAAGGACACTGACGCGGTGAGTGTCAGCCACAGGCTCCTCTGTCTCCTGAAGACGACACTGATGTGGCTATTATCAGGAACTCCACTCACAGTCTGCAACACTTTGTAAATAATAGGAAAACCTTTCCTGAGTTGGTGGTTCCGAAAGTTAATCGCCTTCAAGATAACTCCCTCTATCATGATAACTCTCTCCGTTATTACCACTCACACAACAATGATGCTGGAGGCGCCATGGTGATCGACACACTGAATCAGATATTCGAAGACCAAGACAGCATCTACCTTCATGATATTGAAGAACCTCAGCAAGTCATGAACAAAGAGATACTAATAAAGTCTGGAAAAGAAATGGTAGACTATGAACGCAGGATCACTCTACATACTAACCAGACTATACCATTACATAACTTTGACGATTTTTTTCCCATAATAGTAAATAAAGCATCAGATGGGGGAATGATTACATCAGTGAGGAAGATGATGAGCAAGTCGATGAGGGAGATGATGTGTGCATCAATGAGGAAAATGTTGGTGAGTTTGATGATGCAAATAAGGACGTGTGACTTGGTGGTGATCTACGACGTCGGCTTCAGCCACTCTGGTCTTCTCCAACTCCTCAATACCCGACAGGTTAGTTAATGCCTGCTGGTGTTATGTAGAGATGTATCGGATGTGGAAATTTAGATATATGTGGATGTGTATATGATGTCTTACTTATTTTGAGGATGCGGATTGGATGTAAGAAATTGTGTGGATGTTTCGCGGATTCGGATGCGGATGCATAAGCGGATATCTGTTTACAGTAAAATGCAGATGCGGATGTAAGAAATTGTGCGGATGTTCTGCGGATGCGGATATCCGATACATCACTAGTATATACTGTATACTCGTTCATACATACTGTAGCTGAACGTTTATGATCAACCTTTTTTTAATGATAAAAGACATTTCGTATGTCGACTTTCTCCTGCCTGCAGTTTTACCTTATCATTCCGACAATCATTTCTCTACTTACCTTCAAGAGGAATACCTTGATCCTTGACCCAAGGAATTTAGGTTACCCTCCTTATCCTTGCATCAGACCTGATTATCTCTCATTCCGTAGTCGTTGTATGACCACTACGTGTTTAACGGTTCCCTGTGGAAATAATAACATATTCACTCGCTTTTATTTAGCCGCTTTCACAATATTGTGAATTTTAGTTTGTATTAATAATATAATGCAGGGCACATGAGCTGATTTACTGTGTGATGTGAATGAGTTTCAGGATCTCTGCTTAAAATTGTGGTGAAAAACAGTCATGTATTGAACTTATGTCAGTGTCCGTAGTCCTGTTGACAAAAGTACATCTTTCATATATACCTTGAGACTGTGATAGATCAGGACTGCGCTTGGAATTTCATCGCCTTTCATAGTGCTTAAATTGCATAATAAGACACAGTGTGTTTCTTTTCTTTTCTTTGTGATCTTGTTACACATATGAGTATGCGTGTGTGCGCGTGTTATGTCCATTCTTACAAGGTTGTGTATATTCTGTTCCCGATGCTGCAGTACTTGCAAATCACGATGCTTTGAATCCTGAATTCTTGCACACACCCAGCAGGTGGTACACTTACATACAGTAGAGGACTTACTGAATGTATCGTGGGTTTCATCGAGGTGTAGTGGATATCTCTACCTTCTGCAGGACCCCAGTCCTCTCCTGCACTTCCTCAACACGCACAGCCATTCCTGGGACTACCATGGCAGGTGAGTGTGTGTGTGTTTGTGTTTTATACAAGTGAATGCGTCGATATTCATTGCATTGAGAACGGAAAAGTTATACTCAGTGTAGTTTATCAGTGCCTATTATCAGGAAAACGACACCCTCTTGTATGGCAATGTGACATCAGTACTTTCTGAGGAGTGTGTAGCGGTAGTGGGTGGCTTGCATGGAATCTTCGGCAATATGCACAACACACCCACAAATAACTAGTAACTTGGTAGACAATGGTGTCTACCTTATATATGTATAAAGGTCCACCTCTTGCGGAATATATGAAGTCCCTTAGCCGGGAAGAAGTGTAATTAATATATTTCATGATGAGTCTGGAGACCCTAGAATTCACCTGGCACTAGTCTTCTCCTACCACCTCCTACCACCCCAGCTTCCTCTTTCAGAGACTCAGTGTCGCGATCGAGAGAGAAAATGCCTGCAGCATTCTGGGCACGCGGCCCACTGCCGGGGAACTGGACGAAGTATTCGAGATGTAGCTCTGAGTTATCTATGTTGTTTTACTCCATATTGTATTTTTGTCAATGTATCTTGTTTTTAAATAAAGCAAATGTAGAATATATAGGGGGTGGTAGGAGAAAATTTTCAAACATCTTCAGGGAGAACCTTGAGTTTTCCCTGAAGCAAGTTTCTTCTTTTCTCTGAGGATGAGGGTCCCCAGGATAGTTCTAGAGGTGGTACATCCCTATGTTATAATTATATATATATATATATATATATATATATATATATAATATATATATATATATATATATATATATATATATTATATATATAAACTAGCAATATATCAACGAGGACATGTTATCTTACTGTAACGGTATCCAGGTAAATTACATCCCATACTGTAGTAAGCATATACGTTGAAAACCATACGCTTTGTATGAGGACGAGCAAAAGACTAGGCTCTTGATGAGTAAGGTGGAACATGTTTCAGACACGTGGTGGTCGGGGTGAGCCTGGAGCAGCTGGTGGCCCTGACAAGGTCGTCCAAAGGTAGAAAGACTCAGCATCTTCTGGGAATCGTCAAGGTAATTCGGTTATTTTAGATAACTCGGATGCTTAAGAATAATTCAGAATAGCGCAGCTAGGATTTTAGTCTAGAGGGGAGTGGCTTAAGTCAGGATTTCAGTCTAGGGGAGTTGCTTGAGCTAGAATTTCAATCTAGGAAGGTTGCTTAAGCCAGATTTCAGTCTAGAGGAGTTGCTTAAGCCAAGATTTCAATCTAGAGGAGTTGATTAAGCAAGGATTTCAATCTGGGGGAGTTACTTAAGTTAGGATTTCAATCTAGGAGATTAAAAGTTCATAAGATGCTGAAAAAAATCAAAGAAGTCTTTTTAAAAATACATGATTTTCAGTAGACATGTTAAGTGCAGTGAATTGCCGTGATCTCGTGGCCACAGGTCACTATAACACGGTAAATATTTAGTTATTAATTGGCAAAAAAATAAGAAGTATTTGCATTTTGGAGGCTTTAAAGACTCCGTATCCTCAACCCCCCCCCCCCATCCCCGCGTGGTTGCATCACTATCGTCGGACACTTTTAAAGTTACCCAAACACAACCTGGAGTCTACCTGGAGGTTATTCCGGGGATCAACGCCCCCGCGGCCCGGTCCACGACTAGGCCTCCCGGTGGATCAGGGCCTGATCAACCAGGATGTTACTGCTGGCCGCACGCAATCCAACGTACGAACCACAGCCCGGCTGATCCGGCACTGACCTTAGGTATCTGTCCAGCTCTCTCTTGAAGGCAGCCAGGGGTTTATTGGTAATTCCCCTAATGCTTGATGGGAGGCTGTTGAACAGTCTTGGGCCCCGGACACTTATGGTGTTTTCTCTTAGTGTACCAATGGCGCCCCTGCTTTTAATTGGGGGTATTTTGCATCGCCTGCCCAGTCTTTTACTTTCGTAGGGAGTGATTTCTGTGTGCAGATTCTGGACCATTCCTTCCAGAATTTTCAAAGTGTAGATTATGATATTTCTCTCTCTCCTGCGTTCCAACGAGTACAAGTCAAGTGCTTCCAAGCGTTCCCAGTAGTTAAGGTGCTTGATAGAACTTATGCGTGCAATAAAGGTTCTCTGTACACTCTCTAGATCTGCAATTTCACCTGCTTTGAACGGAGATGTTAATGTACAGCAGTATTCCAGCCTAGAGAGAACAAGTGATTTGAAAAGGATCAACATTGGCTTGGCACCTTTCGTTTTGAACGTTCTCATTACCCATCCTATCATTTTCTTTGCACTTGTGATCATGGTACTGTTGTGTTCCTTGAAAGTGAGATCCTCAGACATTACTACTCCCAGATCCCTTACATTATTTTTCCGCTTTATTGTATGGCCAAAGTTTGTAGTATACTCTGTTCTAGTTATTATCTCCTCCAGTTTTCCATAACTTAGTAGTTGGAATTTGTCCTCATTGAACATCACATTGTTTTCCGTTGCCAATTGGAAAACTTGGTTTATATCTTCTTGGAGGCTAACCGTGTCTTCAATAGATGACAGCCTCGTGCAGATCCTAGTATCGTCTGCAAAGGATGATACGGTGCTGTGGATTACATCTCTATGTCTGATATGAGGACGAGGAACAGGATGGGGGCGAGTACTGTGCCTTGTGGAACAGAGCTCTTCACTATGGCAGCCTCTGATTTAACTCTGTTGACCACTACTCTTTGTGTTCGATTGGTTAGGAAGTTGAAGATCCATCTCCCCACTTTCCCAGTTACTCCTTTAGCACGTATTTTGTGCGCTATTACGCCATGATCGCATTTGTCAAACGCTTTAGCAAAGTCTGTGTATATTACATCTGCATTCTGATTTTTTTCCAGTGCATCCAAGGCCATATCATAGTGATCCAGTAGTTGTGAGAGGCAGGAGCGACCTGCCCTGAACCCATGTTGTCCTGGATTGTGCAGTTTTTGGGAATCCAGGTGGTTTGCAATCCTTCTTCTTAGCACTCTTTCAAAGATTTTTATGATGTGGGACGTTAGAGCTATTGGTGTATAGTTCAGTGCTAATGCTTTGCAGCCACCTTTATGAAGTGGGGCTGTATGCGTTGTTTTAAGTGACTGTGGAATTTCACCCATATCTAAGCTCCTTCTCCATAGTATACTAAGGGCACGTGAGAGGGGTTTCTTGCAGTTCTTAATGAACACAGAGTTCCACGAGTCTGGGCCTGGGGCTGAGTGCATGTTCATGTTGTCAATGGCTTTTTCAAAGTCTATCGGAGTTAGGGTAATGTCGGAAATCTGGCATACATTGATGGAGTTTTGAGGCTCATTTATGAAGAAATCATTTTGATCGTCGATTCTCAGACTGATTAGCGACTCACTAAACACAGAGTCGTACTGGGATGTCAGTATTTCACTCATTTCCTTGTTGTCATCTGTGTAAGTCCCATCCTGTCTGAGTAAGGGCCCGATACTAGATGTGGTATTTGCCTTGTTTTTGGCATATGAAAAGAAATATTTCGAATTTCTTCCAATTTCACTAATAGCTCTAAGCTGCTCCTGTCTCTCCTGGTTCCTGTAAGAGTCATTTAACTTAAGTTCGATAGTTTCCACTTCCCTGGTCAGCGCCTCCTTCCGTGTAACAGATTTTCTAGCGTTCTTGAGGAGCTCAGTGATTCTTCGTCGTCTTCTGTAGACGGAACGTCTTTCTCTGTACTACTAAGTAAAACACTATGTTTAAACTTCACTGTAAACAAAAAAAAAGGCGTTTTCTTGGCGTTGCCCTTCAGGTGAGGGGGGGCGGGTTGTTGCCTTGATGCTGGTGAAGAGATCTTGATCCAGCGAGTTGGAGCTAATTATCTCAGACTTGATTACTCGCCAGTCTCCAGGCGCTGATGACAACCCCCCCCCCTACTGGTACACAGTCTACGCATGAATGTAGTCATTTCATTTACCTTGTTAATCCTACTGCCTAAAAATGAGCACATGTGCAGGTGTAGTGCAGTACATGTACAGGTGTAGTGCAGTACATGTACAAGTGTAGTGCAGTACATGTGCAGGTGTAGTGCAGTACATGTACAAGTGTAGTGCAGTACATGTGCAGGTGTAGTGCAGTACATGTACAAGTGTAGTGCAGTACATGTACAAGGGTAGTGCAGTACATGTACAAGGGTAGTGCAGTACATGTACAAGTGTAGTGCAGTACATGTGCAGGTGTAGTGCAGTCACTGTACAAGTGTAGTGCAGTACATGTACAAGGGTAGTGCAGTACATGTACAAGGGTAGTGCAGTACATGTGCAGGTGTAGTGCAGTACATGTACAAGTGTAGTGCAGTACATGTACAAGTGTATTGCAGTACATGTACAAGGGTAGTGCAGTACATGTACAGGTGTAGTGCAGTACATGTACAGGTGTAGTGCAGTACATGTACAAGTGTAGTGCAGTACATGTACAGGTGTAGTGCAGTACATGTACAGGTGTAGTGCAGTACATGTACAAGTGTAGTGCAGTACATGTACAAGTGTAGTGCAGTACATGTACAAGTGTAGTGCAGTACATGTACAAGTGTAGTGCAGTACATGTACAAGTGTAGTGCAGTACATGTACAAGTGTAGTGCAGTACATGTACAAGTGTAGTGCAGTACATGTACAAGTGTAGTGCAGTACATGTACAAGGGTAGTGCAGTACATGTACAAGTGTAGTGCAGTACATGTACAGTGTGTGCAGTACATGTACAAGTGTAGTGCAGTACATGTACAAGGGTAGTGCAGTACATGTACAAGTGTAGTGCAGTACATGTACAAGGGTAGTGCAGTACATGTACAAGTGTAGTGCAGTACATGTACAGGTGTAGTGCAGTACATGTACAAGTGTAGTGCAGTACATGTACAAGGGTAGTGCAGTACATGTACAAGTGTAGTGCAGTACATGTACAAGGGTAGTGCAGTACATGTACAAGGGTAGTGCAGTACATGTACAAGTGTAGTGCAGTACATGTACAAGTGTAGTGCAGTACATGTACAAGTGTAGTGCAGTACATGTACAAGTGTAGTGCAGTACATGTAACAAGGGTAGTGCAGTACATAGTACAAGTGTAGTGCAGTACATGTACAAGTGTAGTGCAGTACAATGTACAAGGGTAGTGCAGTACATGTACAAGGTAGTGCAGTACATGTACAAGTGTAGTGCAGTACATGTACAAGGGTAGTGCAGTACATGTACAAGTGTAGTGCAGTACATGTACAAGTGTAGTGCAGTACATGTACAAGGGTAGTGCAGTACATGTACAAGTGTAGTGCAGTACATGTACAAGGGTAGTGCAGTACATGTACAAGGGTAGTGCAGTACATGTACAAGGGTAGTGCAGTACATGTACAAGTGTAGTGCAGTACATGTACAAGTGTAGTGCAGTACATGTACAAGTGTAGTGCAGTACATGTACAAGTGTAGTGCAGTACATGTACAAGGGTAGTGCAGTACATGTACAAGTGTAGTGCAGTACATGTACAAGTGTAGTGCAGTACATGTACAATGGTAGTGCAGTACATGTACAAGTGTAGTGCAGTACATGTACAAGGGTAGTGCAGTACATGTGCAGGTGTAGTGCAGTACATGTACAAGGGTAGTGCAGTACATGTACAGGTGTAGTGCAGTACATGTACAAGTGTAGTGCAGTACATATACAGGTGTAGTGCAGTACATGTACAGGTGTAGTGCAGTACATGTGCAGGTGTAGTGCAGTACATGTACAAGTGTAGTGCAGTACATGTACAGGTGTAGTGCAGTACATGTACAGGTGTAGTGCAGTACATGTACAAGTGTAGTGCAGTACATGTACAAGTGTAGTGCAGTACATGTACAGGTGTAGTGCAGTACATGTACAAGTGTAGTGCAGTACATGTACAGGTGTAGTGCAGTACATGTACAAGTGTAGTGCAGTACATGTACAGGTGTAGTGCAGTACATGTACAAGTGTAGTGCAGTACATGTACAGGTGTAGTGCAGTACATGTACAGGTGTAGTGCAGTACGTGTCTCCTACAGTCAGTGAGGGAGGAGTGGAAGGTGTACATGAACCAGCTGTACGGAGATCCAGGTGGCTACGGTGTCAAATTCGTTACCAGCTGGCGAGGACACAGGTTCACACCTCATGTGGATTTCTTCCCTGACCAGCTGTCTAACCTCCACGGTGCCGTGCTCACAGTAAGTGTTCTCCACGGCGCCGTGCTCACAGTAAGTGTTCTCCACGGCGCCGTGCTCACAGTAAGTGTTCTCCACGGCGCCGTGCTCACAGTAAGTGTTCTCCACGGCGCCGTGCTCACAGTAAGTGTTCTCCACGGCGCCGTGCTCACAGTAAGTGTTCTCCACGGTGCCGTGCTCACAGTAAGTGTTCTCCACGGTGCCGTGCTCACAGTAAGTGTTCTCCACGGCGCCGTGCTCACAGTAAGTGTTCTCCACGGTGCCGTGCTCACAGTAAGTGTTCTCCACGGCGCCGTGCTCACAGTAAGTGTTCTCCACGGCGCCGTGCTCACAGTAAGTGTTCTCCACGGCGCCGTGCTCACAGTAAGTGTTCTCCACGGCGCCGTGCTCACAGTAAGTGTTCTCCACGGCGCCGTGCTCACAGTAAGTGTTCTCCACGGCGCCGTGCTCACAGTAAGTGTTCTCCACGGCGCCGTGCTCACAGTAAGTGTTCTCCACGGTGCCGTGCTCACAGTAAGTGTTTCTCCACGGCGCCGTGCTCACAGTAAGTTGTTCTCCACGGCGCCGTGCTCACAGTAAGTGTTCTCCACGGTGCCGTGCTCACAGTAAGTGTTCTCCACGGCGCCGTGCTCACAGTAAGTGTTTTCCACGGCGCCGTGCTCACAGTAAGTGTTCTCCACGGCGCCGTGCTCACAGTATGTGTTCTCCACGGCGCCGTGCTCACAGTGTTCTCCACGGTGCCGTGCTCACAGTAAGTGTTCTCCACGCGCCCGTGCTCACAGTATGTGTTCTCCACGGCGCCGTGCTCACAGTGTTCTCCACGGCGCCGGTGCTCACAGTATGTGTTCTGCCACGGCGCCGTGCTCACAGTGTTCTCCACGGTGCCGTGCTCACAGTAATGTGTTCTCCCACGGGCCGTGCTCACAGTAAGTGTTCTCCACGGCGCCGTGCTCACAGTGTTCTCCACGGTGCCGTGCTCACAGTATGTGTTCTCCACGGTGCCGTGCTCACAGTAAGTGTTCTCCACGGCGCCGTGCTCACAGTAAGTGTTCTCCACGGCGCCGTGCTCACAGTATGTGTTCTCCACGGCGCCGTGCTCACAGTGTTCTCCACGGTGCCGTGCTCACAGTAAGTGTTCTCCACGGTGCCGTGCTCACAGTAAGTGTTCTCCACGGCGCCGTGCTCACAGTGTTCTCCACGGTGCCGTGCTCCCAGTATGTGTTCTCCACGGTGCCGTGCTCACAGGAAGTGTTCTCCACGGCGCCCGTGCTCACAGTGTTCCTCCACGGCGCCGTGCTCACAGTGTTCTCCACGGTGCCGTGCTCACAGTATGTGTTCTCCACGGTGCCGTGCTCACAGTAAGTGTTCTCCACGGTGCCGTGCTCACAGGAAGTGTTCTCCACGGCGCCGTGCTCACAGTTTTTCTCCACGGTGCCGTGCTCACAGTATGTGTTCTCCACGGTGCCGTGCTCACAGTTTCTCCACGGTTTCCGTGCTCACAGTAAGTGTTCTCCACTGCCCGTGCTCACAGTGTTCTCCCACGGTGCCGTGCTCACAGTAGTGTTTCTCACATCGGTGCCGTGCTCACAGTAAGTGTCTCCACGGTGCCGTGCTCACGGTAAGTGTCCCTCCACGGTACTAGTACTTTTAACTGGGTAGGAATATATATATATATATATATATATATATATTTTATATATATATAATATATATATATATATATATATATATATATATATTAATATATATATGTATATATTTATATATCGTGCCGAATAGGCAGAACTTGTGATCTTGGCTTAAATAGCAACGCTCGTCTTGCTATACAGGACAAGTGAAATTTTGTGTATGCAATAATTTCGCCAAAATCATTCTGAACCTAACGAAAAAAATATATTTCATTGTGTTTGTTTAGTATTAAATTACTGTAAACAAATTTAAAATATATTTAGTTGCATTAGGCTAAAATAAATTGCTCTTGTTATAACAAGGTTAGGTAAGTTTTCTAAGCTACTTTTGGTGCAAAATTAACAAATTTTACATTAACATTAATGAAAAAACTATATCTTTAAACGTATAAGAGAAAATTTTGGAAAGGACTTAATTTTAAATGAGTTCTTGCTAATTGACCAGTTTTACATATTCGGCACGACATATATATATATATATATATATATATATATATATATATATATATATATATATATATATATATATATATATATATATATATATATATATATATATATATATATCCTTTGAAACAGTGTTTTAAAAAATTACTTAAAACAGAACTATATTTCTTAAAATAATATTTAGTGCTTATCAAGACTTAGAGTAAGATTTTAAATCCTACGTTTATCTGATATTAGTAAACTACGACCATCGTAGAAGTATAAATAATAGAAGTCCTCAGGTTGTTCTTCAACTCTATATATCCTTGGTTAGGCCTCATTAAGACTATGCTGCTCAGTTCTGGTCACCGTATTACAGAATGGATATAAATTCTCTGGAAAACGTACAGAGGAGGATGTCAAAGATGATCCCATGTATCAGAAATCTTCCCTATGAGGATAGACTGAGGGCCCTGAATCTGCACTCTCTCGAAAGGCGTAGAATTAGGGGGGATATGATCGAGGTGTATAAATGGAAAACAGGAATAAATAAAGGGGATGTAAATAGCGTGCTGAAAATTTCCAGCCAAGACAGGACTCGCAGCAATGGTTTCAAGTTGGAAAAATTCAGATTCAGGAAGGATATAGGAAAGCACTGGTTTGGTAATATAGTCGTGGATTATTGGAACAAACTCCCGAGTACAGTTATTGAGGCTAAAACGTTGTGTAGTTTTAAAAATAGGTTAGATAAATACATGAGTGCGTGTGGGTGGGTGTGAGTTGGACCTGACTAGCTTGTGCTGCTGGGTGTGGTGCAATGCTCCATCCTTGAGTGGCGGTGACCAGACTGGGTGGGTCATTGGGCTAATCCGGGGGGGTTCATTGGGCTAATCCGGGGGGGGGACATGAACCTGCTCCGCATGGGTCAGTAGGCCTGTTGCAGTGTTCCTTCTTTCTTATGTTCTTTTACTAATATCAGTTTTTAAAGGGATGGAAGGGTATGCCAGTAGAAGGCCTCGGTCAGATGACCAAATGCTCCGGTGGCAGGGGTCACCATATGGTTAGGACCCGCGTCAGGAAACAGTTGTCCTGATTCCTGACGAATCTTACCTAACCTAAGCGACCATCGTATCAAATTAGAAACTTAGAGTCAGATTTTGGCGTCAGTTTGCATAAAGACGAGTTACCTGGAGGGTTACCTGGAGGTTATTCCGGGGATCAACGCCCCCGCGGCCCGGTCCATGACCAGGCCTCCCGATGGATCAGGGCCTGATCAACTAGGCTGTTACTGCTGGCCGCACGCAGTCCGACGTACGAGCCACAGCCCGGCTGATCCGGCACTGACTTTAGGTATCTGTCCAGCTCTCTCTTGAAGGCAGCCAGGGGTTTATTGGCAATTCCCCTAATGCTTGATGGGAGGCTGTTGAACAGTTTTGGGCCCCGGACACTTATGGTGTTTTCTCTTAGTGTACCAATGGCGCCCCTACTTTTTATTGGCGGCATTTTGCATCGCCTGCCCAGTCTTTTACTTTCGTAGGGAGTGATTTCTGTGTGCAGATTTGGGACCATTCCTTCCAAGATTTTCCAAGTGTAGATTATGATATATCGCTCCCTCCTGCGTTCCAACGAGTACAAGTCAAGTGCTTCCAAGCGTTCCCAGTAGTTAAGGTGCTTGACAGAACTTATACGTGCAGTAAAGGATCGCTGTACACTCTCTAGATCTGCGATTTCACCTGCTTTGTATGGAGATGTTAATGTACAGCAGTATTCCAGCCTAGAGAGAACAAGTGATTTGAAAAGGATCATCATGGGCTTGGCATCTCTCGTTTTGAAAGTTCTCATTATCCATCCTATCATTTTCTTTGCACGTGCGATCGTGGCACTGTTGTGATCCTTGAAAGTGAGATCCTCAGACATTACTACTCCCAGGTCCCTTACATTATTTTTCCGCTCTATTGTATGGCCGGAGTCAGTAGTATACTCTGTTCTAGTTATTATCTCCTCCAGTTTTCCATAACGGAGTAGTTGGAATTTGTCCTCATTGAACATCATATTGTTTACCGTTGCCCACTGGAAAACTTTGTTTATATCTTCTTGGAGGTTAACCGCGTCCTCAGCAGATGACAGCCTCATGCAGAACCTAGTATCATCCGCAAAGGATGATACGGTGCTGTGGTGTATATCTTTGTTTATGTCTGATATGAGGATAAGGAATAAGATGGGGGCGAGTACTGTGCCTTGTGGAACAGAGCTCTTCACTATGGCAGCCTCCGATTTAACTCTGTTGACCACTACTCTTTGTGTTCGATTTGTTAGGAAGTTGAAGATCCATCTCCCCACTTTCCCAGTTATTCCTTTAGCACGTATTTTATGGGCTATTACGCCATGATCGCATTTGTCAAATGCTTTTGCAAAGTCTGTGTATATTACATCTGTGAGTTTCCGTCGTTGAGAGACCCCGAGAAAGGTATTCCTCTATCTATCCTATAAACCCAGCTCCTTCTACCTCATTGCATGTAAATACACTGAGGTAGAAGTAGTAGTGGACTGCATCATGTCTGATGCAGTTTAATAACAGTATCGATGTTTTGGAGCAAATCAGACGAGGCTTCAGGTCATAGCATAAACTCTAACAGTCCCAATTTCTTTAATAAAATTACCAATGCGGAATGTATACAGCCCAAAACTAAATCGATCTTGATAAATTACACACATATCTAATTTATCAAGATTAATTAAACATGTCAGTTAGACACATGTCTAATTTATCAAGATCAGTTAGATGTGTCAGTCAGACACATGTCTAATAAAGATACTCTCGTGTGCAACATCTGAGTATCATTATTGTCCAAAATAAAGATACCCAAGTGTTGCATATGTGTCTGATTTATCAATTTGTAGATAAATGATTCTTTTAACCAATTATCTACAAATCGATCTCGCCTCTAAAATTTTAATTGGCAAACTGTCACTTGCTGCAAGTATCCATTGTTACCTGTGTTTCTCAAGGTGGTGACCTTCGTGTGGGAACCCAGCATCTTCTACTTCCGTGCCAGCAACGGTTCCGTCTTGTACCAGTATGGAGTGGACATCGAAGTCACCAGACTGCTGGCGCAAGCTCTCAACTTCTCCGTCCAGTTCGTGGAGCCGCCTGAAGGTATGACAAGACTCTGACGTTATGCTGCGTCAACAGTTTGCTTCTCTTAGGGAAACATCATCAGCTTGTCGGCTCGATGTTTCTACCGCCTGCCACGACTGGTTAAGATACTCGGATACATTATATTTCTTCTCTTAATGGTTGTGTGCAATATATGTGTGAGATCATAAAGAAAGAGAAAGTGACAGTGTAAAGGTAACAGAGCAGAGACACACGAGTGCTTACCAAGTTTTACTCACACATATTACGAGATTATATTGTGAAATCATATGTATAACTATCTTTTTGATAAATTAGGATGGCTTAACGATCATTAATTCGAAATATAAATGCATTAATCAAGATAATAACAGTCATAATTGTAAGGTGTGTGTAGAAACTCAAGAGAGAAAATTAATTCGACCAAAGTTAGGAAAAGATATAAGCGCATTGTAGCTGTGCTAGCTAACCTTGGTAACGTTTCACATTAATACATAGGATTTGCTAGAGCTAGATCATTGTTATTTCGTAAACATAATGTTACACGATGGTTGCAACAACCAAGAATGGCGTTGATAACGCCAATGGCAGTTTGAAATGTAATGTTTATGGCATTGATAACGTCAATGCCAGGATGAAATGTAGTCTTTGTAGCTTTACGTTTACTCACAGGGTGGGTGACGCTGCTCTATATTGTCTTTAAGCTGGTACGTTCACGTACATAATCAATGGCACTGCCCAATACTGTTTTTATGGAGGTACGTTGGTACACAGGCTGAGTGGCACTGCCCAGTGTTATCTTTATGGTGATAGGTTCACTTGAAGGATAAGTGGCACTGTCCAGTACTGTCTTTATGGAGGTACGTTGCCACACAGGATGAGTGACGGGACGTTCACTTACCAGATAAGTGGCACTGCCCAAGAAACTCGCCCCTCAGAAAAAAAATCAACTTCACTTGTTATCTATTTTTCCTCTAACAATATTATTGCAATATTGTTACGTTTTCTCATTGCGAGGTGAGCTGTGGGGGTCTCAGAACAAGGACGGGTCGTGGACGGGGATGATGGGGCTGCTGGACACGGATACAGCCGACATGGGCGTGGCTAACCTTTACGTGTCCATCAGCCGGGTGGGGATCCTTGATTTCACAGCTCCATACGACTCAGAGGTGAACAACTCAGATGTAATCTGTGTGTGTGTGTGTGTGTGTGTGTGTGTGTATGTGGTAATTGGATGTTAATTAAGGGGACAGGAGCTGGCTATAAAAGAATCATGATTGGATATGAAAGGATCGGATATCAAAAGGATCAGCTTAGGATATCAATTAATCATGGTAAGTTATCAAAGAATCGGGATAGGATTTCAAAGAATCAGGGTAAGATGTCAAAGAATCAGGGTAAGATATCAAAGAATCAGGGTAAGATATAACAGAATCAGGGTAAGATATCAAAGAATTAGGGTAAGATATCAAAGAATCAGGGTAAGATATCAAAGCATCAAGGTAAGATATCAAAGAATCAGAGTAAGATATCAAAGAATCAGGGTAAGATATCAAAGCATCAGAGTAAGATAACATAATATCAAGGTAAGATATCAAAAAATCAGGGTAAGATGTCAAAGACGTAGGGTAGGATATCAAAGGCTGAGGGCACCTGGGAGGTGTCACAGTTTGTGTTGATGTAGAGTTATCATTGAACAGGTAACATGTTTTCTGGCGAGGCGGGAGCCACCGCTGGCCCGCTGGCAGGCCATTGCTTTCCCCTTCCACTGGACCACCTGGATTGCGATCTTCTTCGGTCTCCTCCTCTCCGGTCCAGCGATCTTCTTTTTCTCCACGGCCAGCCGAAAATTGTAATGCTATGATTTTTACCATTTTTTTTTAGTAATAATTTGCCTTATACATGTGCAAATATTCCCATATGTAACGCTCTTCTCGGCAGATAGCCTCATTGTGGATTCTGTCTTTCCCATGTAAACACATATTTGAAAACCTGGACCGAAAGCTTGACCAGGCAGGTTTCGTGTTTCCTCAGTGGTAAGGAGATCGGGAGTCTGAGATCGCTTACAGGCTGTTGGAATTACAGCGTTGGGATTCATCTCATGAAGTCTCAGGCTCACCTGCCTCTCCTCAGCACCACGAAAGTGCTAATCACTTCCCTTTGGCTGTACACAACGATCATCACCATCGCCTACAGTACCAACCTCACCGCCTTCCTTCTTGTCAACAAGCCACCGAAGGACATCGAGACCATCAAGGATCTCTACGACTCCGACCTCAAAGTGATTGGTATGGGAGAATTCTACAAGGATGAGCTAGCTTCGGCTAGCGACCCATACCTCAAGGTTCGTTGGTACATGCCGTAGAGTGGATCTCCAGCTTTAGGTCAGTGCCCTTCCCCTCAATCTTAGAGTCGGTATCCCCAACCTTATTATCAATACCCCCCAACCTTAAGGTCATTGCCACCAACCTTAAGGCCCGTGCCCATAGCCTCACAGTCAATGCCCCCAGCTTTCGGGTCATAGGGCTGCCCCACCATAGGGCTGTAAACGGCACTACACTTGATACGAATGCTCACCCTGGTACAAACTCCGACACTCCTTCAGGAGCCAGTGCCGGGTCACCACATGGAGAAGACCCGGGCCATGGCCCGGCCTGGCAAACCTACATGACCATGAATAATGTCAGTGTGGGTGAGGTCCATTTTAAGACCGTACTCCTCCCGTCACACTAGCCGTCACTCCTTACATCCTCAATCCATAAACATTAAAAAGTCATGGAAGTATCACCCAATCAGTCTATCATCTGTTCCAAGCAACACTTGCCAAATCTCTTCCCAGTCCACCCTTATAAGCCTTTTCGCATTCCATTAATACAGTAGTTATTTTTCCCTTTTCCGACCACCGCTCCTTGTATTCACGTCAGTATTTACATGTTTTAGTTTCAAGTACTGTATATCTTTTACAAGGAATCTAATACTTTGCCTTGCTGTGTTATTTTATTTGAAAGGGACTGACGAAGTTCTACGAAGGACAGAAGTCTACGGACGAGGCCTATCAGAAGGTCCTGAAGGGCAGGGCAGTCTTCCTACAGAATCGCGCCTTCGTTGAATTCATCGCCAGGACCAAGTTTACGAGTAGCGGCTTCTCCCGGATGAGGATTATGAAGGTAAGCGGAAGTCATGTTTCAGATTTGTTAGAGAATAAAAAAACACTAAAAACTTGCACTTATAAGTGGAACCTTACGAAAATATTTCGGTCCTTCCTAGGCTATTATCAAGTCACAACTGAGGCAGAAAAGTGGAGTGTCTGAATACAGTACTGTAGGGGGCGGGGAGAGAAGGAAATCGTAGTAATATTATAGTAGCATTACAAAAGATCAAAAGAAAAGAAGAGCACAGCAGGACATATACTGGCCCAGCTCAGGCAGGGCTAGTAACAGAGTAATGAAGGTGAATTACATTTCAAGGAGTTAAATTTCAGTGGTGGAGACTGAAGTATCTCGAGTATCTCTGGCATCTGTCTTCAACGAGGGAAGAAAAGAACTACAGTGGGCCTACTGGCCCAAGCTAGGAAAGAAAGGGAAGCAAGAATGAGGAACATCAGAAGTCAGGGTAGGCAAAGTCAATGCAGAAGACAGATTAAGAGGAAAGGATAGTAGGCAAATGTCAGGTCAAGTCACGATTGTTCTGAAGATTAGATCATTTGATGATGTATTGGCAAAGGCAGATGTCTGCAAAAGCAAAGCCAGGACTAAGATTCATGCTAGGGAAGTTGTGTACGAGAGCTAATTCGACAAGACACCGTCCTTGAAGGCTGGAGGAGTGGTAGATGGTTTAAGCAGAGTATACTATTGTTGCCGGCAAGGCGAACATATATTTTGTGCTCTTTAAGTCTGTTAGAAAAGAAGCATCTGGATTTCAACAAGGAAATGGAGATGACAGGAAGAGCAGGAAATAGAGTAGACACCACAAACATCAGCAACGGAAGAGATGTGTGAACAAGATAACTACGAAGGGTATTAGGTTGATGAAAAGCAAATTTGATATCTAGAGTGGAAATAAAGGGGAGGCAAAAAACAGATTTCACAGGAGGAGTGAGTTTGAGGAAGAAGAAAGTCTGTTTAGCATGAGAGTTGACAGTTTGTGAAATCTGGAAGAAAGCCAAGGCGAGAGGAGGTGAGAAGAATGGAAATTTCAGAAGTCGAGAAATTGAAGGTCACACGCTGAGTGCGTGGATGAGGAGAGAAACAAGGACACTTATCTTGATAGAAGGAGCATGGCAAGAAAAGTAGGGAATAAAAAATTATATTATAATAGACTTCAATGAAATGTTTTTTATTTCATGTGTGTTATGTTTTTTAATCATATACATTGTATTCTGTTGTATACATTATATTTCACAGTAAATTTTTTTATTCAATAAAGGAATGCTTCGCTCCCTATAACATCGCTATGGGACTACAGCGTCACTCTCCGCTCAAGGTCAAGTTTGACGAGGTCATTGGTTGGATACAACAAAGTGGTCTATTGAGGCACTACTTCCTCTACTCCCTTAGACTGGCGGCCTCTACCAAGGTGGGAAAATATCAGATTTGATGTTAACTCACTGTTTATGAAATTTGTGGGTGAAGGCATTATCACCAGTCAAGAGTCTTGTATGCATGAGTCTTGATTCATCAGAACACTTAAACAAAATTATTGAATTGATGATACTGACTGATTATGGATAAATTCTTTTTAATTATGAGTACTTGTTTACAGGAAAACGGTGGAAAATAAAGATCATTTTATCTAGCCTCCGTTCACTAATCAGGAGACGGGCACAAATTTCGCAGCCAGGCTTTCCTCTCAACACAACGGGGCAGCAATAACAAGCCTACTAGGTTTAATCTTTAATAATTCGTTTGTTGAATAATTGAGGAGGAATTATTACTACATTATACATTTTAATAGTGGCAACCTAGTCCTTAAATCTAATGATTATAAAAAAATAGATGAATTGCAGAATCAAACCGCCAAGCTATTTTTGCTAGCACAGCTTTTAGTTTCAGCATGATAGTTTCCGCACTAGTAAGTGTAACTCTAAACGCAATATGACGTCTTCCATTGCAGCTGATAGCGTCATGAGATATGGCACAAACACATCTCAAAGTCTACAATGATAGAAATTTTTCTCCATTTTTCACTGACACTATACAACAGAGTAGCAAAAAGTGATGCTATTAACTTACTGTTGGAGAACGTTATATTTCTCAGTGTAGATACCTGCAGAATTTAATTTAATCCCCTTTTTTAGGGATTGGAATATTCTTGACAATCGATAGGCTTTAAGCCGAATAAGCCAATCTATGATCTGCTGATGAAATATGTACATACAGTAGTAATATCTGTGAAATTATCTAGCCAATCCTTAATTTTGGAAGGATTTAGAAAACCCAGTTAGTCAGACTTTAGTTTTCGGAGAATTAGAAAAATCGGGTTATTTAATTTGAGTTTTGTGTGAAGGACGCTCAGTGCTTGCACTCAGTTTCCTCTCATGTATAAGGTACACAATTTATGCAGACCCTGAATCATGTAATCAAACTTGAATTAATACGATTTGCATCGTTTTCCCGTCACCTGCAGCCTGATGGTTAGCGACAGGGCCGTGATCAGCGGACGAAGAATCTAGCCTCGATCACTTTCCGATACATGACCAACACATTTATAACGCTCCACGAAATACAATGCATTTTGTATTGCCACATCATTTGAGGAATTACAAGTTTATCTCCGTATGCCATCAGGAATACAAGAGTGACGTGGACGGAGACATTGACGAAATGGATGACAGGGTGATGGACGGGGGTGGCGGGGTCATCCCCCTTAGTCTTGACCACTTACAAGGATGCTTCATCGTCCTCGTTGTCGGTAGCATTGCTGCTGCAATCGTCTTCCTTCTTGAAGTCACTTATTCAGTGGTTAACGTAGGCAGTGTACGAGGTACTGATGGGGGACAATACTGGTGTCTTTAAAAAAAAAGTCTTCTGGTTGCATAACGGTTGTGTTGAGCTCTCTGTAACTTTACTGTGAACAGCACTACCAACGTGTGGAATGTAACAGGGAAACATAGTTTTGTTCCCACTGTGTAACTCTGATATAGAACAGGGTAGCAGCACAATACTGATGTATCTATTTTAAAGAAAAAACTGCCAGCACCAGCATCGTCACAGCACCCTCACCACGATGTGTAAAAGACAATAAACATTAATATAATCACATCTTTAAAAAAATAAAACATTTGTTTAAATAACCTCTGTTTCGTGAGACATCGAGTACAATGTAGAGTAGTATCTCTTATTTTTTAGTGGCGGAAATTACCCAGATGCCTAAAATTGGTATTTTATTCACCAGTTTTCATTGTGTTCAACTGCTAATCGTTCTACATTGTTGGTAAAACGAAGTGGAACATAAGTGTGTGTGTGTGTGTGTGTGTGTGTGTGTGTGTGTGTGTGTGTGTGTGTGTGCGTGTGTGTGTGTGTGTGTGGCCGCCCATGTATATCACCAACTGCTTATCTGTGATTGTGTAAGGCTCTGATAACGATTAATAAGCCTTAACTACAAGCTCACCACCGATGAGCTCGCTCTTCTATTTTTTACACAAGGTTTTACAAGGTTAGATTAAGGTTCCTAACTTTATTTACAAGCTAAGAGCTGCTCTTTCTCTCTCTGTTTATGAATAATAGAAGTGAATACGGAAAAAAACAATGCAATAAACATCACTGTCTCGTTTAAGTTAAGAAAATTTCGCACCTCTGCGCAGCAGCAGGAAAACTAACATGATGCGCAGCAGCGAAGGACAATCATGATGCGCAGCAGCAGATATTCCCGCAGCATTTTGAGTTATCCGCTAAGCCATGATTTCCGTGGATTGTGACCTATACCCCCCTCCCTCCGGGCTGACCTTGCAGCCCATCACACAATTGCTGGTCAGCTGATCTTCACTCTGCACGCCTCTCTCCCCACCTCTGTCTCCTCCGTGCCCTGGTTTGGTGTATGCTGTACCCATTACATCTCCACGCTGTCTGCTACCCTTACCTATACCGGCTGTACAACTTGTATCTACGCCCCACTACCTGGGCTGACAGTACGGGCAGGGTAAACTGTCCCGCCTGCAGTGTTGCCACCAGGCGCTTTCCCAAGTGCCATGAATGCGCAGCACCAGAGGCCTAGCGGTGTTACGTATGTATGACAAAGGTGAAAGACACTGTGGTTTGTAGAAAGTGAGAGTGTGTCATTTATGATGAAAATAAGAGACACTGGTTAATAGTAGGTGAGAGTGCGTCATTGATGACGAAGGTGAGAGACAGTCTAGTTAAAGACTGAGACACTTAAGCAACATATGGGAATCTTTATTGATTCTCATATGTTGCATAAGTGTTTCAATCTTCAACTTGTCGGTTTTAAACCATTTATCACAGTCTAGTCAGTAACAGGTGAGAGTGCGTCATTTCCTCACGTGAAGTATTTGGTCAGACTCCGGTTATTCATCATTCAAGAAACTCGCAGGAACTTGCCAAAACGTGTTGAACCCTAGTGGAGTCTAAAGTTAATAATATATATATATATATATATATATATATATATATATATATATATATATATATATATATATATATATATATATATATATATATATATATATATATAATATATTATATATATATATATGTATATATATATATTATATGTGTGTGTGTGTGTCTATGTCTGTGTGTAAACCTATAAAAATGCATATTTAACCACGAATAAGCAAATTATGACAGCAACGGCATCGATCTGTCTGGCAACAAGGTTACCGAAAATATCCCAGACGTTAAAATTTGTACGTCACTCGTGGTGTGAGACTGGGCTGTATCATGGCGTGGTAAAGATGCACAAGCGGAAATATCTGAAGCTTTCATTGATGATGTTTCGGTTACACACTGGGTTTCAACAAGTCGCAGTCATAAATCTCTCGTGGGGGGCAGTGCGGTGAGGCAAGTGTGGCACCTCACCACTACTCTTTATACAGGTTTATCTGTTTGTCACTTAAGCACAGTGCGCGGCACAAGTGACATCACTAAAGGATTCCATATAATTTCATTTGTTTTTCTTTATCCTTGTGTCGATATCTCATAAAATTTTCTGTTAGAATACATTTGACATTAAGACCATCTTCCCACTGCTGTTAGAGTTGAGAAACTGAGCTCTCACGATTATGAATCGGGCACGCATGGCTCACACACGGCTACCACATAGAAAAATATCCGGCACCACTCTTTGACGACTGCTCACACATTTTCAGCTCATCATATCTAAATAGACTATTCCGTCTATTAGAGAGCACACAGGATTCAACACACTCTAACCGACCTCCGCGCTGAAGGTCCCACCTTTCTCTCTCTCTCTCTCTCTCTCTCTCTCTCTCTCTCTCTCTCTCTCTCTCTCTCTCTCTCTCTCTCTCTCTCTCTCTCTCTCTCTCTCTCTGGCTGACTTCTTAATAGAAACTAACCAACGGTACCAACTGTAATTTCAGTTTTATCCTTACACTTAAACCAGCCACACTTCCAGTAATTCCTGCGCCTTACACTTTCCTACTCTTCTCACACTTCTGCTTTCACACACTCCTACTCACACTGTTTTAGCGCACAAAATGAATGTCAATATTATTACCATTACCTTCAGGAGTCACGGCAATTCTCGTGGGAGCCGAGGTGGGAAGCTGCCTACACCAGTGTAACAATAAAATTAATCTTACCTATTGGTGTATGTGTGTTTCCTTTTACGTAAGTATATGTGTATAAAATGCATATATGTACGTGTACGTCTGTCTTTACATAATTAGACGAAAGGGAATAACATTGACCAGGGAATCAATCAGGTACACACTCCAGCGAAGAGACGGGGTTAGGAACTGTGACTAGACCCCTACAACCACATGTAGGTGAACATATAGGCGAGTACACACGCACCGGTTAAAGGTTAAAGTGGGCGGTGGTAGCACAACGCTGGCCGCCCGGGTCTGTGGAATACCTGGCCACAGTCTGATAAGTTATCGCTCAACTTGGCTTGGTCTCTGGTTACGTGACTTATTTTGTACCATACACAACTTTATATCAAGGGAAATGTTTCTCTCGCCTTAATGCTCCAGCTTGCCAGAAAACCACGGAGGAATTTTAAACTCTCAGATGAAGGATTTTTATTATATTTACATGGGTAGCTCTAACACCCCCAGGGTCGTACAGCGCCTGGGAAATAGAAGGTAATAAGATTTGATTACACAGGAGAGGATGGCTTTAATACATTGGCCAAAAGCCTCTCATCAGCATCACGGATGATCTTTGAAGGTATCAGGAAGACCCGTGAAGGTATTAGGAAGATCCGTGAAGGTATCAGGAAGATCCGTGAAGGTATCAGGAAGACCCGTAAAGGTATCAGGAAGACCCGTGAAGTATCAGGAAGTCCCGTGAAGGTATCAGGAAGACCCGTAAAGGTATCAGGAACACCCGTAAAGGTATCAGGAAGACCCAAACCGTGGGTCTGACTTCCATTAAGCAGAGGAACTAGATTTAATCGCAGCAGATTAGGTCGTTATTATTATTACATTCATGTGAAAGCGCTAAACCTTATGGATCACTCAGTCACTTCCATTCCAGTGGAATGGAAGTGGCTGAGGTTTGATCTCAGGTAATGTATAAAAACTGTCGAAAGGACAATATATATACTGCACGCAGCTCTGCTGCTTTTTGCATGACTGAGTACCTACCTACAGTCACCTAAAAAACCCAGGACTGACCTATTGTAGAAGTCTTCGAGTTCTACAATAGGTCAGCGGGGAAAATGATGCACTGAATCAACTACAGGTAATCTACTGGACTCGTCAGTAAAAGGTCAGGTCTGTCGTCCAAGAAACTCTGAGGCCTAAGCGGAGATATTTTTGCCTGAGAACGACATTTGTCTCCCTCGCAATGATCTCGACGTTTTCGGTCATGCAAGAAAAGGGATCACATCTAATTATGCTAAAGTGTCTCTGTGGGATTTCAATAGCGTTCTTGCTGGCTTATGTAAAAAAATCAACCTAACTAGTAAAAGGCATATATTGACGTGAATTCCAGAAAATATTTCAGAAGGCATTGACACCCGGACGTAGAAAGAACTAGACCGTGAGGAGAATCGAAAATTAATATATTTTTATAAACTATCCCTTAGCATTTTAACACTAATTTTGTTTAATGCGTTGACAGTGTAGTTTAAAACTTGATGCCGTGTTAGAGTCAAAGTTTTTAAATTGTGCTTCATATGGTAAGTTACGAATGCCTCACACAACCGCTGGAGCACGAGATAACACCACTAGAGTTATCAGTACTTTAGTCATTTCTGATTATCCTATCAGTGGAACATATTTTCTCCGTGTACTAGTGGCGCTGTAGCAGGAGACTCACCCAACGCCATCGCAAAAACAAAAACATCAAAAGCGAGTGTTATGGAGCAGCATTTGTTCTTGGTCAGTGTCACCACGTTATTCTGTTATCTGACAGTGGTGGCGTTAGGGAAGTAACCGTAGCTGGCAGTTCTCGTTGTAGGTGGGAAAACTTCAGCTGGCTAATCCGGGACGTTGATACATTTACCCGCCCTCATACCACTAACAAGTGACTAAATCACCGTCAGGTCGACGTTGTGCTGCTTCGAGCCTAACAAGGTGTTTATATTATTGTTATTCACTATAGTGAAGAACATCTAGAGTTCGACGTATATTACTAACATACACCTTCACAGGTTCAGTGATGCAGTGTACTATTTTCATGGGAACAGTTCCGTGTGCAGTGCTAAAGCGATTAATTCAGTGTATCTGAACATTAGGAGTTCCAGTGAAAGGATAAGGCATTAAATTTAAGCGTGTCCCTATGTTTATACTTCTTAGTGCTTTCACCAGTACCATAAAAGAAAAGTGAAACTCAGTCAAATATTTTCTCACACGTGTGTTTGACACATTATTGTAAATAGTATTAATAAGAATACTAATGATTTTAAACCCTACCAAAAGTTTCTGCGAGTGTCATCATAGCAACATTTGCAGAGTGGAATAAGCATCAGGTGAGCAAATTAACGTTTCAAAGCCCAACTGATCGAGTAACCTTCACTTTTGGAACCCACAGGGTCTGGAGATCCATAACCTCAAAACTCACCCCCAAGAGCTCTCAGGCCAGACCGTGGGAAGGGCCCCTCATTTCCGCTTCATTAGACAGCTTACTCTTCACAGTGACTAGTACCACCATTAAGAAGCCAGCACCTTCGCCGAAGAGCTCACATCTTCGCATCGGGGCCCGCATCTCTGCCCCTAAGTGCCCACACCTTCCTGAAGGAACCAGCTAACGCCTCCAATAGTACACACATCGCTGACTACCTTGTCTCTACCTATTCAGTTAAGCAGTAAACTCCAGAATGAGTGAAGAGGAGATATCGTTGGTAAGATTTTTACATTTCTGAAGTTGTCATTTATATGAAGGAGATTTAACGAGTCGTATTTACGTTGAATAAAATCATTTGACCACAAAGACCAAACCTTTACATTTTAAGGAAGTGATAACTTTGTATGTTAACACAGTCTACTTGCACCTCATATTTATTTTTCCTTTAACTTATATATATATATATATATATATATATATATATATATATATATATATAATATATATATATATATATATATATATATATATATTATATATAATATATGGTTGGTTTAGGTAGTAGGTTGGTAGACAGCAACCACCCAGGGAGGTACTACCGACCTGCCAAGTGAGTTTGAAACGAAAGCCTGTAATTGTTTTACAAGATGGTAGGATTGATGGTGTCTTCTGTTTGTCTCATTAATATGCAAGATTACAGGTACGTCTTGCTACTTCTACTTACACTTAGGTCACACTAAACATGCATGTAGACGTTTATTTATACACACTCATGTGAGTTTTCTTTGATTTTATCTTAATAGTTCTTGTTCTTATTACTTTTCCTTTTCCTTTTATATCCATGGGGAAGTGGAATAAGAATCTTTCCTACGTAAGCCATGCGTGTTGTAAAAGCAACTCAAATTCCGGGAACAATGGGCTAGTAACCCCTTTTCCTGTAATAATTACTAAAAAGAATAAGAAGAAGAAAATTGTCAAAGTGGGAAGTCTGAATGTGCATGGATGTTGTGCGAATGATAAGAAAGAGATGATTGTGAATGCTATGAATGAGAAGAAGCTCGAAGTCCTGGCTTTAAGTGAAACAAAGCTGAAGGGGGTGGGAGAGTTTCAGTGAAGAGGAATAAATGGGATTATGTCAGGGGTTTCAAATAGAGTTAGAACTAAAGAAGGAATAACAATAATGTTGAAGGATAAGCTATGGCAGGAAAAGAGGGACTATAAATGTATTAATTCAAGGATTATGTGGAGTAAAATAAAGGTTGGATGTGAGAAGTGGGTTATAGTAAGCGTATATGCACCTGGGGAACAGAGAAGTGTAGAGGAGAGAGAGAGAGAGAGATTTTGGGAAATGTTGAGTGAATGCATGGGGAGTTTTGAACCAAGTGTGAGAGTACTTGTGGTTGGGGATTTCAATGCTAAAGTGGGTAAAAATGTTGTGGAGGGAGTAGAAGGTAAATTTGGGGTGCCAGGGGTAAATGAAAACGGGGAGCCTTTAATTGAGCTATGTGTAGAAAGAGGTTTGGTAATTAATACATATTTTATGAAAAAGAGGATAAATAAATATACAAGGTATGATATAGCACATAATGAAAGTAGTTTGTTATATTATGTATTGTTGGGTAAAAGGTTGATGGGTAGGCTCCAGGATGTACACGTTTATAGAGGGGCAACTGATATATCGGATCTTTATCTAGTTGTAGCTACAGTTAGAGTAAGAGGTAGATGGGAAAAGAGGAAAATGGCAACAACAAGAGGGAGGTGTAAGTGTATAAACTAAGGGAGGAGGAAGTTCGGGTGAGATATAAGCAACTATTGGCAGAAAGGCGGGCTAGTGCAAGTATGAGTAGTGGGGGGGGGAGGGTTGAAGAGGGTTGGAATAGTTTTACAAATGCAGTATTAAAATGTGGGGCAGAAGTTTGTGGTTATAGGAGGGTGGGTGCAGGAGGAAACAGGAGTGATTGGTGGAATGATGAAGTAAAGGGTGTGATAAAAGAGAAAAAGTTAGCTTATGAGAGGTTTTTACAAAGCAGAAGTGTTATAAGAAGAGCAGAGTATATGGAGAGTAAAAGAAAGGTAAAGAGAGTGGTGAGAGAGTGCAAAAGGAGAGCAAATGATAGAGTGGGAGAGGCACTGTCAAGAAGTTTTAATGAAAATAAGAAAAAAAATTGGAGTGAGTTGAACAAGTTAAGAAAGCCTAGAGAACGAATGGTTTTGTCAGTTAAAAACAGAGTAGGAGAGTTAGTAGATGGGGAGATGGAGGTATTGGGTAGATGGCGAGAATATTTTGAGGAACTTTTAAATGTTGACGAAGAAAGGGAGGCGGTAATTTCATGCACTGGTCAGGGAGGTATACCATCTTTTAGGAGTGAAGAAGAGCAGGATGTGAGTGTGGTGGAGGTGCGTGAGGTGCAGGGGGGGACATAGTGTTGGAGTGGTTGGTATTTTTGTTTAATGTATGAAAAAGGGGAAGGTACCTAGGGATTGGCAGAGAGCATGTATAGTCCCTTTATATAAAAGGAAGGGGGACAAAAGAGATTGTAAAAATTTTAGAGGAATTGGTTTACTGAGTATACCAGAAAAAGTGTACGGTAGGGTTATTACTGAAAGAATTAGAGGTAAGACAGAATGTAGAATTGCGGATGAGCAAGGAGGTTTTAGAGTGGGTAGGGGATGTGTAGATCAAATGTCTACATTGAAGCATATATGTGAACAGTATTTAGATAAAGGTAGGGAAGTTTTTATTGAATTTATGGATTTAGAAAAGGCATATGATAGAGGGGATAGGGGAGCAATTGACAGATGTTGCAAGTATATGGAATAGGTGGTAAGTTACTAAATGTTGTAAAGAGTTTTTATGAGGATAATGAGGCTCAGGTTAGGGTGTGTAGAAGAGAGGGAGACTACTTCCGGTAAAAGTAGGTCTTAGACAGGGATGTGTAATGTCACCATGGTTGTTTAATATATTTATAGATGGGGTTGTAAAAGAAGTAAATGCTAGGGTGTTCGGGAGAGGGGTGGGATTAAATTATGGGGAATTAAATACAAAATGGGAAATGACAGAGTTACTTTTTGCTGATGATACTGTGCTTATGGGAGATTCTAAAGAAAAATTGCAAAGGTTAGTGGACGAATTTAGGAGTGTGTGTAAAGGTAGAAAGTTGAAAGTGAACATAGAAAAGAGTAAGGTGATGAGGGTATCAAATGATTTAGATAAAGAAAAATTGGATATCAAACTGTCAGCGGATGGATTTATAAAGGATGAGGTTAATCATAGAATTGATCAAGGAAAAAAGGTGAGTGGTGGAGGTATATGTGGAAACAAAAAATGTTATCTATGGAGACAAAGAACGGAATGTATGAAAGTATAGTAGTACCAACACTCTTGTATGGGTGTGAAGCTTGGGTTGTAAATGCTGCAGCAAGGAGGCGGTTGGAGGCAGTGGAGATGTCCTGTCTAAGGGCAATGTGTGGTGTAAATATTATACAGAAAATTCGGAGTGTGGAAATTAGGAGAAGGTGTGGACTTAATAAAAGTATTAGTCAGAGGGCTGAAGAGGGTTTGTTGAGGTGGTTTGGTCATTTAGAGAGAATGGATCAAAGTAGAATGACATGGAGAGCGTATAAATCTGTAGGGGAAGGAAGGCGGGGTAGGGGTCGTCCTCGAAAAGGTTGGAGGGAGGGGGTAAACGAGGTTTTGTGGGCGAGGGGCTTGGACTTCCAGCAAGCGTGCATGAGCGTGTTAGGAGTGAATGGAGACGAATGGTATTTGGGACCTGACGAGCTGTTGGAGTGTGAGCAGGGTAATATTTAGTGAAGGGATTCAGGGAAACCGGTTATTTTATATAGCCGGACTTGAGTCCTGGAAATGAGAAGTACAATGCCTGCACTTTAAAGGAGGGGTTTAGGATATTGGCAGTTTGGAGGGATATGTTGTGTATCTTTATACGTATATGCTTCTAAACTGCTGTATTCTGAGCGCCTCTGCAAAAACAGTGATTATGTGTGAGTGAAGTGAAAGTGTTGAATGATGAAAGTATTTTGTTTTTGGGGATTTTCTTTTTTTTGGGTCACCCTGCCTCGGTGGGAGACGGCCGACTTGTTAATATATATATATATATATATATATATATATATATATATATATATATATATATATATATATATATATATATATATATATATATATATATATAATGTGTGTGTGTGGTGTGTGTACTCACCTATTTTAGGTTGCAGGGGTCGATTCGTAGTTCCTGGCCCCGCCTCTTTACAGATTGATACTAGATCTCTCTCCCTGCTCCATGAGCTTTATCAAACCTCGTCTTAAAACTATGTATGGTTCCGTGTGTGTGTGTGTGTGTGTGTGTGTGTGTAATGCATACATAATTATTCAGATATGTGAAACACCCACACCCACAACTATATGCACATAAAGACACGTGCACATGTATACACATATTTAAAACACACGTATAAAACACACTTCTATACACTCCTGTACACATAAATACCTATACATGCAGGGACACACACGTATTTATACACTGACATATATACACTCATACCTATACATGCACAGTATGAAGATACGTACACATGCATACAAAGAATGTATGGCATTATCGGAGAATTCGTAGCTTACTCTGTCATTATCTGTATAACGGGGAGATAAGATAAGCCTAATTTTCCCTTTGTATGACAGTCGGATCATTGTTAGAGGCCTACCCTCGATATTAAGCATTACTGCCAATGTTTACGCACAGAATAAAAAAAAACACTATAAGCACTGAAACAGACTTACACAGATCACCTTCAAAAAAGTAACAATGAACACACACTAACACCAGACCACCTCAAGTACAGAGTAAGAGTCAGCACACACTATCACAGGTACAGAGTAACAGTCAACACACACACTAACAACAGACCACCACAGGTATAGAGTAACAGTCAACACACACTAACAACAGATCACCACAGGTACAGAGTGCCCTGGCAGGGGACTCCGCCAGGGTGAACGAAGCGCTTGAGAGCGGCGTAGCAGTGGACACGACTGAGCGTGGACGGACAAGTCTCCACCACGCTGCCGTCGAGGGCCACCTCGATGTAGTCAAGGTCCTGCTCAACTGGAAAGCTGACGTCAACAAGAGGAGCAAAGCAGAGGATGACAATGGTCAGCCTGGCTGGTGTGGCTTGTGTTTGCAAAATCATTAATTGTGCGGTATTGTGTTCTTAAAAATGTTAGTCGCGTAATATTGTGTTGGTTTGGTGTAGTGGTTCGTAACTCACTATACGTGCAGTATTGTGTTTTCAAAGTCATTATCAGTATATTGTGATGTTCGGAAAACCACTGTGTGTACTAAGAGGCTCGAATGAATATGCTGCAGTTCAGAGGGTCAGTTGAACTGAGACGTCCGCTTGAATGGATGACAATGAATGTTTCTAGCAAGAGAGAGTCATTGAGCGGATGTTTCCATTTACAGGTCACCTTACCTTGGTGGGAGACGGCCGGTGTGGAAGTAAACGTAGTGGCAGTGTCTGTACATTATTATGTTCCTAAAAATGTTGCGTGTATATTAGAATGATTGTAAAATTGTGTTATGTGGGCGTGTCCGCTAAGGAATTGTAGGTACATTAAATAGTTATGATGTATTGCACGTTGAAATAATTATGAATTAGTGCAGGCTCTCTCTCTCTCCTTTCTCTCTCTCTCTCTCTCTCTCTCTCTCTCTCTCTCTCTCTCTCTCTCTCTCTCTCTCTCTCTCTCTCTCTTCTCTTCTTTTCTCCCCTTTTTTTTTTTTTTTTTTACACAGGGTTTGACAAGTGGTTAAGGGTCCCTAGTTTTATTGACAAGCTATTTACAGGTTAAGGATTCCTGACTTTATTGCAAGCTAAGAGCTGTTACCTACATCAGCTCATTTGAAAACATTTTTATTGTTATGAAATATACAAGTAGGGAACAGGATGAAGTTGGAGCCATCTGTGGGCCAGCATTTTCATTTGATCAACTGACTTTATCTCTATTACATCTTAATGCTTCGAATGTGTCTCTTACTCGTATCATCTCTGGATAATCATCTCAGATGAGTATTTTCTGGGAAGGGTACAGCCAGTGAGTTGCTGCTTTTCTGCCCTCCCTTCCCTCCCCCCCCCTCTCTCTCTCTCTCCTATATCTTTAAACAGCCCTTACACGGTAGTCTGGGACGAGAGAGAGTATTCCTCCCTCCTTCAGGACTCTTTCCAATAATGTTCATTGCTAAACGAGTGTGTTTAATATTACAATTGTTTTCTGAATGTCTCTTAATTAGAAGTAGTTTCTGAAGGGGTGCTTTCTTATCGTGATTATTGCTTAACAAGAGTGTCTTGGTTATTTATATTTTAAACAATCGCTCTAATAATGTTTGGTTTTGTGCAGATCGTATTGCCTCCCGTGTAGAATTGCCCAAGGTAAATGTGCAGTAAAGTAGAATAAGAGTAGAGAATGAATAGGGAAGTGCTAAGAGAAGAGGGAGTATAGAACACAAGAAGTGAGACAAAACAGAAGTGTGTAACAGTACAACAGAAGAGCGACAACAGGAGTGTGTTATACAATAGGAATGCAACAGCAGAAGTATAACTCCTTAACAGAAGTATGACCGTGGAACACTAGTGTGAACACAGGAGTGTGATTGTACAATAGATGTACACTGTACAGCAGGGGTGTGACAGATGTTTGGCTGTACAATAGTCTTGTCCAACAGGAGGAACACCACTGCACTTGGCGGCTGAGGAAGGTCACGCAGATATCATGGAGCTGTTGGTGTCTGCTGGAGCAGACGCTGAAGCTATCGACCTCAAAGGCAAGACAAGAGTTATACTTGAAACTTGCAGACACTTGAACCAAACACACACACACACACAAACCTACCCAGGTAGGTAGGTAGTACCTACCTACCAACCTACTCACCTGCATTCCTACCTAACCTAATCTAACCTAACCTACGTACCTACTTACCTAACTACCTACCTACCTGCAGACAGTGCTGAAAGCAACTAGCGTTTGCTCTCAGGTATCACGACTTTACAACCATATAATCACTATACATGAGTCTAATTTAAAAAAAAAAAGTCCCTTATTTATGTTTGTCCTACAATAAAGTGATTTAAAAAAATAATAGCAATTGCAAAGTAAAAAAAAACACAGTGCATTATTATTTATTACTTGACAAGTAAATACGCAGGATTGTTGCAACTTTATGTAATGTCTAAAATTTGCATATATTCAAATCATCTTTCTACTGATTATTGTGACTTATGATTTGTTCCTTTCATTGCTTAATTAAGAACCTGAAATCATGAGACATCTTAATGTAATAGCAAGCATAGCATTAATTTACCACATGTGGCATAGTATTTCTTCACTTACTGTAGTACTATGGCACATGGCACACTGCATGACGTAGTGCATTAAGTATGAAGACGTTAACGAGACACCGCATGACATTCCAAAATCTATTCAAAGGCATACTGCATTACAATGAATTTATATTGTTATATACATCGTATCTGCACAGAGGAACAGCACTGTTTACACTTGTATAACTCTCTTCGTGTACAATGAGGTAGGGCGGCGTGCGAGTCACAGGGCAGCATCGAGGGGACAACTGGAGGCGCTGCAGCTTCTTCAGGAGATCGGGTGTGACCTTAACGCAAGAGACAACGGGAAAGCCACACCCATCCACCACGCCGCCTACTTCGGCGACCTCGACGTTGTCAAGTGGCTCTCGGAGAGCGGGGTGTACCTGGTTCTCAAAGACAAGAATGGTCGCTTGGCCAAAGACGTGGCTAAGAAGTACGGCCATAACAACATACATCGCTTCCTCAAGGAGAGCGCCAGCAAGAAAGGCACGGTGGGTGCTCGTTCAGTAGTTACACGCACAGAACACGCTCTTAAGAGAGGGGAAACTTATGACGACGTTTCGGTCCTCCCTGGACCATTGATAAGTCGCATAAGTTTTCCCCTCTCCTGAGTGCGAGTTTATTGTGTATTGTTCCACCCACGTCATTGCGACTATTCTGTAGTACAGTAGTTACCATGGTAATTGATGTGTATGGTGCATTATGGTTACATTTCGCTGGGAGTTTCTAAGGAATGTTAATGAAGTGTTTTCACATCGCGTCATGAAACCGGAAGTTGGCCATTTTTGAGATATTGATTTTTTGCTTCTGGGAAGCAACTAATTAATGTGTTTGACCAGGGCGATACATAGTTTTAATTTTCGAAGCACTTATTACCAGAAGCAATCTAGGAATAAAACATAAGTACCGAAGGTTTTTTATTCATTGTTAATTAACAACAGTTGTGGATGACACAACATATCTTTATTGAGTTCGTTTCGGTTCTGGGAGATCGGTCACGCTAAAGGCCCCAAGACCGAAACGTATCCTATGTCGTATGTGAGTTCACTTGTGTCATTTTTCATCCACATCGTGAGTACTTCCCGAAATGCACCGCATGTTAGTGGCTTTCTTTTATGCCTACCAATATTTGATGACATACATTACATTACCTGTATACTGCAGAAAAGAAAGAAATTTATTATTATTATTATGATTGTTATTATTATTATTACTTACCTTCACAAATACTTGTGGAAAAAATATATAACAACATTCTTCATAAGTTAATTTGGCGTGATAAGCTTAAACACACTTCTTTATAAGTTTCATCGTATTCCATTTTAAAATCTTAACATTGAAGACTCATTTCATTTATAGTTTGGGACAGCAAAGGCTCGTAAGAGTATGCGAGATTCTTCGAGCCTTCAGCGACCCGTCCACCGACCGAGACCAATGGTCGTGTCGGTGGACTCAGTCAAGAGCTCCCCACCAGCCACGGAGCAGGAAAAACAGATGCAGCCAGACCTCAATGATACAGGCTCGTCACACGTGGATCAGCACGTGGATAGCACGTCGATGGTGTCCTCGACGCGGAAGCACTCAACGGAGGATGCCAGGCCTGCAGAGGGTTCACTCACTCCTCCCGACTCTCCATTGAGTCGCATGATGGAATCTAGGGTAAGCTGATAATGTGACTGTTGTAGAAAACGACGAAAGTTGGTGAAAAAAAGACAAATTCAGAGGAGTCCTTTGTATGTAGAGCATTTCACCCAACATTGACCTTTCTCAAGTCTTCAAAAAAAAAAAAAAAAAACTAGTGTTGAGTGAAACCTAATACCAGTCAAGCACTCCTGTGTCTTTTTCACATACTCTGCTTCTCTTAATTAAAAACTGAAGATTAATTAGTTTGTTGCAGTGTCCTTCGAAACCTGAAGTGTTGCTGAATAATAATTTATAGAAACTTGGCTATATTGTCGGCATGTCAAGGGAGTTGAGTTTACAAACCGCAATTTGGAGAGAGAACTTTAAGCAACGTTTCGGTCCGTCCTCTACCGTTTCCACATTGACAATTAATAATATAAGAATGAAGGAACACTTCACTAGGCCTATTGGCTCATGTTAGGCAGGTTCAACTTACATTCAACCACACCCACTCACATTCCCGTCCATACTATATTTAAAGCTACTCAAAGTTCCCGCCTCCAATGACGCTGCCTAGGAGCACATCCCATGGTCTTTGACAGACCGAAACGACGCTTAAAATTTCCCCTCAGAATCTTGCGTTAGTGGTTAAAATTGTTCCAGACACGGATCCCCTCTTTTCCTCTTCAAGGGTCAAGTCTTTATATATATGGAGTCTCTATGGTCTACTTAAAGGCAAAAAAAAATTATTCCTTCCCAGAATTTGTCCTTTATATTAGGGGATTCAAATACATATGCAATTTATGTACATACGAAGGAAGATGGCTTGTGTTTAATTATTGTAAGGTGTACATGTAGGTAGTACCAGAGCCGAGGCGCCGCACGTGGAGTTTGAGGTCCTCGAGAGGCAGATCCAGTCTGAAGAGTCAGGTGGACGAACTCATCGACGTCAAGGTAGGTCAGTCACCCTTCATGCCGGTGAATGGCTCTTGATGCAAGGAATTGGAATTAATCTCTCCTTCTTAGCATCACACCTGATTACATCTTATTCTTAAAGCACTAACTTACCTTGACGGGTACAGCGTTGCAAAATTATAACAAGGCTGGTCACTTCACCTTCAGTGCAGTGACCAATCCCTTATGACACAAAATAAGATGAGTATTGTATATTTCGAACATTGAGTGAGACACTCTTCAATATTAAGTGCAAATATATAATGGTTTTTCTTTTCTTGTATGTTCTATATTTGAAAGTTTGTGTTACTGACCAGTGTTTACCTTCTTTTATTTACCTTAGAAGCCTAGATTGAATTCATTTAGATACCAGAGTGAAGTTAATAGCTACCGTATGTGTGTGTGCTTTATACAATGAAAAGTACGGAAACTTATATGCCGGTCAAGCCTATTCTTGTACTGACAAATATTCATGTAGGAGATTAAGACACATGGATAAGAGTTGAGTATCTTTAGTGATGAAACGTTTCGCCTGCACGGTAGGCTTCTTGAGTCAGATACAGAGGCAGCAGTAGTATGATATAAAGATGTCCATCAGTCTTGGAGAAAATGTGTTTGAAGTGGTCAGTTCCTCAGCCTGGGGAAAAGTTCAGCTCCATGGAGCTGAACTTTTCTTCAAGACTGATAGACTGATTACATCATCTTTACATCACTACTACTGCCCCTTCTATATTTGACTGAAGAAGCCTACTGTGTAGGCGAAACGTTTCATCATTAAAGATACCCAGCTGTTGTAATTGATCTCAAATGGTATTTTATACCATTTTAATCACAAACCTTCATGTAATTGTTATAAATACTAGTCTGTCAGGAAGAACTTCTATCCCAGGAATAACTTGTTCAGTGGTGTTGCTCGGTCCTCCACAGGAGAGACACGAGGAGGAACTTCAGTGCCGGGACGAGGAGATCACTCGACTGAAAAACAACTTTAGCCGGTTAGAGAACGAGAAGGTAAGATAGTGTGATGACCTCGCTTTCTTTACAACAGTGTTGACTTCACTTTATTGCGGTGTTGACTTCACTTTATTAATTATGGTGTTGACTTCACTGTCTTAATTATGGTGTTGACTTCACTTTCTTCATTACGGTTGACTTCACTTTATTACGATGTAGATTTCACTTTCTTTACTACGGTTTTGACATCACTTTGTTCATTACTGTGTTGACTTCACTTTTTTCATTACGGTGTTGACGTCACTTTCGTTGTTACGATGCTGTCTACTCTCTTTATTAGTGCGTTTATTTTACTGTTACAATAATCTATTGAATATAAAGGACACTTAGAAATCAAGAAATAAATCAGAACTGTTGACAATATAAATTTATTAACTACGAGGACTTTCACGAAGTTCTCTGGCAATCAGTCCCGTTATTGGCAAGTTACACTGAGGAAACCATCACCTCAAAACATAAAATTAGTTTTTGATCTCGTAAAAAATTAAAGCGGGTTTTTTCCAATATATTTTTATTTTTTATTTTTAATGAGAAAGTTCCTGAAGAATATCATATTGACGGGACGTTTAAATGCCTCTTAAAATATATACACAATTATAAATAATTTTATAATTATTAACATTGTTGAAATTATTATAGTTTGGAACACAATATATATACACTGAGAGGTGTATTCTTTGAAGAGTTTATATGATAGGAGTTTGTTTTAATAGGTATTATTTAACCGTAATTTTTGAAGGGGTAGACCAGTAAGCCAGATGAAGGCTTCAGTCAGATGGCCAAAGCTCCAGCGACGGGTCATCACATGACTAAGACACGCGTCAGGAAACACTTGTCCTGTTTCCTGGCAAACCTTACCTAACCTAACCTATTTTAGAAATTATAGTATTATTGCCAAATGGCGAGATGGTGACGTGCAGCCTTAATAACCCTGGTGTAGTCGATAAACTTTAAACCTCATTAACCGACCAATCTTTCGAACAATCTGGACAGGTCCTAAATCTTACGAAAATGTCGTAGGGAACGAGTGTTCATTAGGAACAGAATTTAGAGATGGCCTTTGTTTTTGGTTCTTTGTTCTTCAGAGGTTCAATGAGATCCTGAGTCCTCTAAGACCTAAGCTTTAAACTTCCATATAAGTGCCACGGCTCTCAAACAAACAGCATTGTTTTGATACAGGATATTGATAATGTTTTATCTGTAGATTACGTGTCGATGTTTCCACTGATCCCTGCAGCCAAGTTTCAAGGCAGACCACCCTATTATTATTATTATTATTATTATTATTACTATTATTTTTTAAGAAACGCTATAAAGTATAAGTATACATTACTGGCGGCTGATCAGGACCTATCACCAGTGAGCACATTTAATTAACTGGTCTTGTTGCAAAACCGGTTCGCATCACAGCAGGACCTTGATATATTATATTTACAAAACAGTACGCTAAACCGGTGTGTGGGTCATTCAGAGATGCACGCCCAGGGTGGGCATACAACAGGATGCTGAAATTTGAAGCATTAGAAGTATGATTTCAACATAGGAGAAATAGTTACAACTGTAATGAAACAGTGATAATGAGGTAGTCTGCTATGTGTTGACAAGAGTATAGTAACACCCTGAGAAATTGTGTGTTTAGTTACCATTTATCAAAGGCACTTGTCGCTAAGATGTTTAGCATGTTGTGTGTACTCACCTAATTGTGGTTGCAGGGGTCGATTCATAGCTCCTGGCCCCGTCTCTTCACTGGTCGCTACTGGGTTACTCCCTGCTGTGTGAGCTTTATCATACCTCTTCTTAAAGCTATGTATGGATCATGCCTCCACCGCCTCACTTTCCAGACTATTCCACCTGCCTGACAACTCTGTGACTGAAGAAATACTTCCTAACATCTCTGAAACTCATCTGAGTCTTCATCTTCGAATTGTGACCCCCTGTCATCTTATCTCTGTCTACTTTGTCGATTCCTCTCAGTATTTTATGTTATCATGTCCTCCCTGTCCCTCCTGTTCTCCAGTGTCGTAAGGTCAGTTTCCCTTAACCTCTCCTCGTATGACATGCGCCTTAGCTCCGGGAATAGTCTCGTTTCAAACCTTTGCAATTTCTTTAATTTCCTGACGTGCTTACCCAGGTGTGGGTTCCAAACTGGTGCTGCATACTCTAATGTAGGCATACACACACAGTGTGTGTGTGTGTGTGTAAACAAGAGCGTGGTACATTATCTGAACATCCGTTGTAGTATCTTGTGACTCAGATCCTAACAAATATAATTGCATCATTCTGTAATGACGCATTGTGTAGTAGGTGGGAGTGTGGCATCATGGTGTGGTGTATGGTGTGCTTCACCATGACAGTCAGCTGCACCACTGTGGTGTGTTTCACCATGACAATCTGCTGCACCACTGTGGTGTGTTTCACCATGACAATCAGCTGCACCACTGTGGTATGTTTAACTATGACAGTCAGCTGCACCACTGTGGTATGTTTAACTATGAAAGTCAGCTGCACCACTGTGGTATGTTTAACTATGAAAGTCAGCTGCACCACGAAAGTAACAGCCACTCCTAGCTTCTTAACAGTTGTTTCTCTGGAGCACCGCCACCCAAGTGTCAGTGGCTTTCTGACATTATGGAAATCAATCGTGGAAACCACCTGTGAAATACGCAACTTCAGTGACTGCACTCCGGACTCAGTACACACCCGTGGAATTACGTAAACAATGTCTTACAAAAGAATGACTCAGAGCACTGCCTGGGAATCTTGCCCGTCTCTCAGTAGCAATATCGAATCCTGCTGACTGCGAATAGGTAAACCTTGTGATTTTTGGCTTAAATAGCAACGCTTTTCTTGCCGAATAAAGCAAGCGAAAATTTGTGTATGCAATAATTTCGCAAAAATAATTCTGAACCTAACGAAAAAAATAAATTTCATTGTGTTTGCTTATTATTAAATTATTGTAAATTTATCTAAAATATGTTTAGTTGGATTAGGCTAAATTAAATTGTGCTTGTTATAATAAGGTTAGGTTAGTTTTCTAAGGTTCTTTTGGTACAAAATTATTAATTTTTACATTAAGATAAATGAAAAAATCTTTAAATTTATAAGAGAAAATTTTAGAAAGGACTTAATTATAAATGAATTCTTGCTAATTGACCAATTACCTATAGTATATATATATATATATATATATATATATATATATATATATATATATATATATATATATATATATATATATATACGTACATATATATAATGTGTGTGTGGCGCGCGTTCCACTACTACCACCACTACTAGCACCACCACTACTACACCACCACCACCACTACAACCACCACCACTACCACCACCACTACAACCACCCTACAACCACCACCACTACAACCACCACCACTACAACCACCACCACTACAACCACTACTACTACTATTACCACACCACTAACCACCACTACTACTACCACTACTACCACTACTACTACTACTCTACTACACCCCTACTACTACCTACCACTACTTTACTACCACTACACTACTACACATCGCTACTACCACCACCACCTCTCACTACACACTACCACTCTACCACTACTTACTACACTGCTACTACCACATCTACTACCACACAACTACCACCACTACTACTACACCACCACCACTACTACTACTTACCACTCAACTACACCACTACTACACACCACTGACTACTACTACTCCACACTACTACTACACTACTACCACTACTACTACTACACTACCTACTACTACACTACTACTTACTACGCTACTACTTCCTCCACACACTTCCACACTACTCACTACTGCTACTACTACCACCAATACTATTACCACCACCACCACTACTACCACCACCACTACCACCAATACTACCACTACTACTACCACCACCACTACTACAAACACTACCACTACTATTTCCTTGCTTCACTCCCCTTTCTGTCGATTATGCCATTACCACTACTCCCTTTACTGCTACTTCCACTACCAACATTACCTCTACCACTATTCCACTTCCTTCTCCTCGTTTTATCCCATCCCTGTTCCCCTCTCCTGTATATACTGGCTCACCTTCATGTGTTAGTGTGACTTGTAAATGGTCCAAGTCAGACCGGAACGTCGTCATAAGATTCTCTTTCCTGTGGGCTGGCTATTTGTGTATAAATTTTCTATTATCTCTTCGGTGTAAATGTTCGTTCGCAAATCAGAACACCTTAGTCTCCATGTTAGCGAGAATTATAAACTTGGGTCTCGCGGTATCACTGATAGGTACTGGTGGAGGAGCAGCTGAGAGAGACGCGCCTTCACGTTGATCACCAACAGAAGCAGCTGGCGGAGACGGTGTCCCTTCAGCAGCAAATCCAGCAGCTCGCCCTGCAGAACGACGAGTACCAGAGTCAGCTGGTTAGTTGGTCACTGAGTGCCACAACCTGGGTGTAAGTGCCATAACCTAGGTATAAGTTCCATAACCTGGATTAAGTGCCCCAAAATAAGTGTCATAACCTGGGTAGAAGTGCCACAAGCTGGGTATATGTTTCACAAGCTGGGTATAAGTGTCACAACCTGAGATATCTACAGTGATCACTGCGACTGAACTTCTGATGTTGTCCATTTGTATATTTTTCGTATCATATATTATGTCATCAACATAATTTACATCAAATTTCTCACTGTTCACTGACAGATGATGCGTTGCCTGGTTAATCATTCGCTGGCCTACCCGAGCTGGGTTTCACACCTCACTTATAATAAACAGATCACCATACAGTAATGTCCTGTGAATGCATTCGGGATCATTTACATAGTCAATTAATTACTAAATATAATATTGTATCTCTCAGGCCAGAGAAGGTATGAACCAGCGCACCTGAGACAAAGTACACAGTACTCTACCCACCATGCCAGACCACATAAAAATTTAGGTGGCCAACAAATTATTTGCAAATAATTTCGCTATTTGCGAATTGTTAGAGATTCTAAATATCTCTTGTGGGTTAGTTCATTTGCAAGTGAAAATGAAATTCATTTCACCTTCCTGGTGCCATCAATTTTGGGAACAAACGCCTAGTTTGCTGGACATTCAGAGTTTTGTGTGATCTGTCATTGTGTCATTGTGTACATTGTTCCAAGGATGTGCAGGTTCTCACCAATTCACTGCTACATCTTACTTAGCTAGCAGAATGGCTGGGCCCAGTCCAGGGGTCCGTTGTGTGCCTCTGTTATCTTTTGACCACCCACAGGATGGCTATGGTATGCACAGTAAAGTTATCATACTTGTTGTATCGTATACTAGGATATTATCGCCATCATCATTATCAGTCACTAACGTCATCATATTTTCCTTAATCTTATTAAAATGTTAGACAATACTCCACAAGTTGATGAGAAAGATAACTAAGTATTGCACTTGTTTGTGTCTTTCTCATTATTTTCCTTTCCTCTTCGCTTGTTCTTCTAACGTTGTGGAATTGTTACCCAGAACCAAAATCAGAGCGAGGAGGCAAAGGTGCTGGAGCGAGAAGCTGTCAACAAACACACCATTGAAACCCTCAAGAGGGAGGTGGAGCGACTCTCCCTTCAACTGAGAAGCAGCAAAGAAAACCTCTTGCAGACTCAGGTAGGTCGAACTCAAGTGATATTGTTGGACTGGATGGGTGAGAGTAGGACCTGCCTAATGTGGGATAGTATACCCACTGCATGGCTCCATGGAAAGGACTGATGGAGTAGTTTTCTTAGTTTGTCTGTCAGGAGTTAAAAAACTAATAGTTGTCTTAGTCATAACTCGTTCACTGTTGCCGGTTCTTTGACAAAGACGCAGGAAAATGGTGTCTAAGGAGTAACGAATGGCTCCTCTGATTAGCTTATGAAAAATTAGGCAAGTTTATTTTTTTGCATTCCGTGGCAGTATCAGTCACTGTTGACATAGTCTTAACACTATTTCTTGTTTTAATTAGCCTTCTACTAAATGTGAATATTGATGTTTTGATTAATGCGTCATCAACACTGGCCAACGAAAAATGAGAAACCACTTGAGAAGCATAATAATGCACAAGTAAAAAGATAAGTGTATTTTTCGGTCTCAGAGACCGAAGATCTTCTTTTAACCTCTTGATTCTTTTTCCGTTAATCTGCTGTTTCACGTTTCGCGGATACTGATGTTTGTAAGTAAACTCTTTATTTTTTTTGTGTAATTATCATCATCATCTCACTCTCATCTCTCACCTTCCCTCCAGGAAGCTCTCCGTCAAGCTGAAGTCAATAGCTCCTCCACCTTCCAAATCGAGTCCCTTCAGAAGGAAATAGAACATCTTACTTGCATGTTGAGCGAAACGGGCCATAGGGCGCTCAGTAATCAGGTAAGACACACTACATGGAGCTCAAATTAATACACGTGCATGCCCGGACACACACTCAACTACAGCCAAAACTTACCCACTACACTCCTAACCCCCACCTCATCAAATATAACCCCCACTATAGCCATAAACACCACCACTGTGTTTGCACGCGTCTTGATACTGTGTTTATTAACTCTCCGATAAACACAGATCAGTATTCATTTATTTTATTATGGTTTAAAACTCAGCCTATGTAATTTATTCTGATGAAACAGTTTGCCCTTAAACTTGATCTTAATTTTCCACTCTACAAAATTTTAGGTTTCTTAAACTGTGCATTAAGCAAGCCTGAGAAAAAATAATAAGTATTCTGCTAAAAAGAATTATTTTTAACATTTAGGAGAAGATGGAGCAGAAGATTGCTACACTAAAAGAAAGAGATGAAAGCCACACAAGTGTCATAGAGGAGCTAACAGAGAAGATATCAGCACTGGAGAAGCTTGAAGAAGCTAACAAAAACACCATAGTTGTGTTGTCTGAAAAGCTAAGAGAAGCTGAAGCAAGGGCTCGCAGCGACCAGATCAAGCTGAGGGTAGCTGAAGAAAAGGCTTCTGTCGATCAGGTAAGTCAGACTGAGAAATGCTGAAGGCAAAATGGTCAACAGGTAAGGTAAGCCGAGGGAAAGGTTCTGGTAGTAAGGTATGAGGAAAATAATCCACAGGCATGTATGTAGGTCCAGAGTAAGAGAGGCTGGCATATCTTTTTCAAGCATAAATCTTCATCTGGATGCCAGGCAGGTGAAGAGATATACTGAAAAACCATCATCCAGGTATGTCAAGAGATATTCTAAGGTAAAAATCAGCAGCTAGGTAGATGAGCCTGAAAAATACTATAGCCACTGTCACTGGTATGAAAGTTGAGACAGTCTCAAACTTCTTTACTTTTCATGTATTAATTCTTTCCTATAGTTAGTAAATCATCTTACCATCTGATTCATGGATCAAGTGTTCTTTAACAATTCTTTATCAGTGATATTATTTGCTATAGAACCACCAGTTATGCGACTGAATGCTCAGAATATTTTTACCCGAAAGGCTGAGCGTGATATTGGTTTAGTTAAAATTATATTACTTAGATTATGCTCATACAGTCTGCAACAATTCCTGCAATGTTTTAATAAAGAATTCATTTTAATACATAACGTTCCGTACTTGTCTCAACAGACACAAGAGGAAAGACTGAAGGAGTGATAGAACAGGATGCCACAAACAAAGCGACCATTGCCTCACTCTCCGCCCAAATGAGCCAACTGGCGGAGCAAGACGACTCCAGCAAGGCTACCATTGCCTCCCTCTCCGCTAAGGTGCAGCAGATGACTCAGACCATCGGTGAGAGGGACAACAAGACACTTGCCGTCCACGTAAGTTACCTATATATAGTGGCACACTGCTTACACGTGTTGAATTCATAAGATGACATCAAAACCTACTAGATACGTAAGGAAATAGGCTATGGATTTCATTCACTGCATTTGGGCCTAGCGACACTAGTTCAAATCCCATTTCATAATTATCCTTCAAGCAAGCAATAAATTAGAGTGAAAACCACACACTCTGATCGAGAGACATTAGGACTTTTTTTATATTGAACTATTTGCTCATAACTGGAATTTGCCTATATAATCAACGGTGTCCATAGGTAATCCACTGTCCAAAAAAGCTATGCATGAGGTAGTCTCATAGCTTTTCTCATCCGGCTGGATGCTGGTAAAAATTTAGTTTTAGAACATACTGATTGATATATGATTTTATTTGGAAGATTGTGAAATTAATTAGAAAAAAATAATCGGAGGGGTCAGTTGCTGGTGTCGCAGCACTAGAATCCAGTGAAACTAAATAGAATCCTAATACGTAAATTCTAAAAATACCATAGTTATTATACTTCTTGTTGCTTTATTTGATGCACCGAGTAATTTGTGAAGTATTACCGCCAACACGATCTTGATCGCTCTATTTAAACTTCACTGGGTCAGTAAGCAGGGCGAGTGACAGAGCTAAACAAGGCTTGGAGACCCTAGCCAGTCAAACAGTTTAAATTTCATCCTCTATTCTACAAACACATCTTGGATCACCCCTCAAGAGAGGTGCTTCGATGCCGGTGAAGAACTCTTGATCTAAGGAACTTGAGTAATTCCTGGTTGCTTACCATCCCCCAGACGCTGAATAACCCCTCTGGGTTCAAAGCTTCTCCCCGACCCCCATCCGATTTAATACGAACTGAATTAATGATATACTTATTCCGTTTCGACTACTTGTTCTTCTGCTACCATAAATATTATTATTATTATTATTATTATTATTATTATTATTATTATTATTATTATTATTATTATTATTATTATTATTATTATTCTGGTTGCCAAACAGAAGCAGCAACAGGCCAGGATAGAGGAGTTAATAGAAGAGAACGAGTCAAAACAGAAGACGATCTCAGCTCTTACAATGAACCTTGATCAACTTAATCAGAAACTTAAGGAGCGCCAGGAACACACTGCCTGGTATCAGGTAGGTTGTTACTCAACACCATGGCAATCAGCTTCGGGTTTATACCTATTTTATTACATATATATTTTTAGAGGGGTTTTAGGCTATTCGGAAAAAGTTAATATATTTTAATAAGATTTCAAGACAACTTAGTTTAATGATACTAAATTTTGTTAGCCTACGATAGACTGATTAGAATTAACCTATTTTCTTTTATTTTATTTTAGCATAATTAGGTTCTGTTAGGTTTATATCGTCCGGTTGTGATGCTAAATTCAAAATTTATGTATTATGTAAATTTACGAAAGTATATACTTTCATCTCAATGCATCAAACCGAAATTTAAAAAAAAAAAAATGTCTTAGGGCCATTCGGCTTGTCTGCCTGACTCTTAGGAAAAAGACCAAAAAAAACATTTCTGCCCATCTGTAATAAATAAAAAGGAATTTATTATGCTTAGTAACCCAGGATAGCCTAGCCATGCAGGGTGGCTTATTTCTATTGAAATCCTGATTACGGTTTTCCTCTTGGATGCGCTCCACACCAGTCGAGTATCTCCTACAGTAGATATATCTAATTACTTCCGTCTAGGTACATATATCTATGTACTTCCGTCTATATAGATATATCTATTTACTTCCGTCTAGGTACATATATATATTTACTTCCGTCTATATAGATATATCTATTTACTTCCGTCTATGTTCCACAGAACAAGTTGAAGCAGAAAGAGAAGGAGGTGGAGGAGAGAGACTACACCATCACCGGACTTCAGCAGGAGGTGGATGATCTGACTCAAGGCTGCAAGAATCCGAACAACAGAAGACTCCTTTCAGTCAGGTGGTTGCTGCAGTCACTGCTTGCACACACACACACACACACACACACACACACACACACACACACACACACACACACACACACACACACACACACACACACACACACACACATACACACTACACACACACACACACATACACAACACACACACACACACACACACACACACACACACACAACACACACACACACACACACAACACATATACAGGATTTCACACCTTTATGTGAATTTACGTAATTTTAGGCACACAAGACAGTACAGTGGAACCAAGAGATAGGGTACATATGCAAAACATATGTGTACATATGAGGGAAATAAGGACTGCTTACATAAACACACACACACTACACACACATAGGTGAGAACAGATCTGCTGTTTGGCACTTGAATACTATAGCACGCACACACACACACACCCACACACATACACACATACACATACACACACATATACAGGATTTCACACCTTTATGTGAATTGACCCTCTAACCTTCCTTCTCTCTCTGTCTCTTTGTCTCTTTTCCTCTCTTCTCTCTCTCTCTCTCTCTATTCTCTCTCTCTCTCTCTCTCCTCTCTCTCTCTCTCTCTCTCTCTCTCTCTCTCTCTCTCTCTCTCCTCTCTCTCTCTCTCTCTCTCTCTCTCTCTTACTCTCTCTCTTACACTTTCTCTCTTTTCTATTCCTCTCTCTTTCTCTCTCCCTCTCTCCTCTCTCTCTCCTTTCTCTTCCTCTCTTTTTCTCTCTCTTCCTCTCTCTCTCTTCCTCCTCTCTCTTTTCCTCTCTCTCTTCCTCTTTTTCTCTCTTCATCTCTTCCTCTCTCTCTCTTCCCTCTCTCATCTCTTTCTTCTCTCTCTTCTCTCTTTTCCTCTCTCTTCTCTCTCTCTCTCTCTTTTCCCTTCTCACTCTCTCCCCTCTCTCCTCCTATCTTTCCCTTCTCTCTTTCTTTCTCTCACTCTCTCCCCCTTTTCCTTTTCACTCTCCCCCTCTCTCTCCTACCTTTCCCCTCTCTCTTTCTTTCTCTCTCTCTTTCTCTCTCTTTCCTTTACTAAATAAAAAAAAATGGTTGGGACTCGTAGGAATCAGATGACAATGGTATTGGTAGGGAGGAATGGATGGAGGAGCAGTGGAAAAGGATGGAGCAAGAATGGGAGAGAAAATTAGGAGAGCTTTCTGAAAAAATGGAGAAAGAGCTCTCTGCGAAATGGGAAGAGAGGTTGGAGAAGGAGACGAAGAAATGGGAGGCACAAGTCGAAACTGCAGTAGACAGGATAAGGGTCCTAGAGTTTCAGGTAAACAGGCTGAAGCAAGTCTCAGGGGCAGTGACCAGAGAAGACAGCATATGAAGGTGAGAGGATGAACAGGAAGGAAGGAGATATGAATTATGCTAAGGTCATATCAGCCTGCAAAGAAGGGTCAGGGAGTAAAAGGAAAGGGCAGCTGGGTGCAGATAGAGAGGGAGATAAGTCGAATGCTGAGGCACAACCATGCTACCAAGAGCCACTGGAAAAATCAAGGGAGAAAAATTACCATATACAGACAGGAACCAGAGTCACAGAAAGAGAGGTAATTGGAGGAGGAAAGGGCAAAATCAGTGTTTATCCATGGGCTTCGGGAGAGAGAGGAAAAGACACACACTGAAAGATGGCAGGAAGAAAGAAAGGAGATTGAGAAAATCATCATGGAAATAGGGGGAGAAGACATGGACGAGATTGTAAATTTTCAGAGAATAGGGGGGTACTTGAAGGGGAGAAACCGACCGATCAAGCTGATTCTCAGGACAGAAACAGTGAGGAACAGGATCCTCCAAGAGGAAACCAAGGTTGAAAAACTCGGAAGAGTACAAGGTGTTCCTAGACAGAGACAGAACACAGAGAGACAGCAGCTCAGGGAGAGGACAAAAAAGCGAAAGGAGATAGGAAAGGAAACAAGGATGAAACCAGCAGAGATCAGTCAGAGCAGAACAGAGAAGCAAGGGCAAGCACACACACAACTATCCTCAGAACCCCACAACCTATCACACCATCCCAACACAAACTACAATCCAAACCCACAGCTTCCACCCAACCCCCAGTCATAGAACCCCACAGTATGCTACCAGGTCTCCCACCCCCCACAGGCCCCCCAAACCACAGTATTGGAAAGGAAACTGAAGGTATGGTACATAGACGCTGATGGAATAACAAACAAGTGGGAGGAGTGGCATGAAAGAGTCAAAGAGACATCACCGGACATCATAGCACTCACAGAAACCAAGCTTACAGGTATGATAACAGATGCCATCTTTCCAACGGGATACCAGATCCTGAGGAAAGACAGAAGGAACAGGGGGGGGTGGAGGAGTGGCACTGCTGATCAAACACCGATGGAATTTTGATGAGCTGGAGAGAGGAGACAGTGGAGAAGAAAGTGATTACATAGCGGGAATGCTTCACTCTGGAGGTCCCAAGGTGGTAATTGCAGTGATGTATAACCCACCAGAGAAAAGCAGGAGACCAGGGCATGAGTATGACGAGAGCAATAGAGCGATGGTTGACACACTGGCTGCAGTGGCCAGAAGAGCTCATGCATGCAGGGCAAAGCTCCTGAAAATGGGCGACTTTAACCACAAGGAGATCTACTGGGAGAACTTGGAGCCACATTGGGGCCAAGATACATGGAGGGCTAAGATGATGGAGGTGGTACTGGAAAACTTCATGTACCAACACGTAAGGGACAGTACAAGAGAGAGAGGAGAGGATGAGCCAGCAAGACTGGACTTAGTATTCACCTTGAGTAGTGCAGATATTGAGGACATCACATATAGAAGACCCCTTGGGGCCAGCGATCACGTGGTTTTGAGCTTCGAATACACAGTAGAGCTACAAGTGGAGGGGGAAGCAGGAAGGCCAGGACAAATGAAACCAAACTACAGGAAGGGACTACAGGGGAAAATGAGGAACTTCCTGAACGAGGTTCAGTGGGACAGAGAACTGGCAGGGAAGCCAGTTAACGAGATGATGGAATATGTAGCAACAATGTGCAAGGAGGCTGAAGAGAGGTTTGTACCCAAGGGAAACAGGAATAATGAAAAAGCCAGGATGAGCCCATGGTTCACCCAAAGGTGCAAGGAATCAAACACCAAGTGTGCTAGGGAATGGAAGAAATATAGAAGGCAAAGGACCCAGGAGAATAAGGAGAGCAGTCGTAGAGCCAGAAACGAATATGCACAGATAAGAAGGGAGGTCCAACGACAGTATGAAAACGACATAGCAGTGAAAGCCATATCTGACCCGAAGCTGTTATACAGCCACATCAGGAGGAAAACAACAGTCAAGGACCAGGTAATCAGGCTAAGGAAGGAAGGAGGAGAGACAACAAGAAATGACCGTGAAGTATGTGAGGAACTCAACAAGAGATTCAAAGAAGTGTTCACAGAGGAGACAGAAGGAAGCTCCAGAAGGACGGAGAGGTGTGGCACATCACAAGGTGCTGGACACGGTACACACAACCGAGGAAGAAGTGAAGAGGCTTCTGAGTGAGCTAGATACCTCAAAGGCAATGGGGGCAGATAAAATCTCTCCATGGGTCCTGAGAGAGGGAGCAGAGGCGCTATGTGTACCCCAAACAACAATATTCAATACATCTATCGAAACAGGGAGATTGCCTGAGGCATGGAAGACAGCAAATGTAGTCCCAATCTTTAAAAAGGAGACAGACATGAAGCACTAAACTACAGACCAGTGTCACTGACATGTATAGTATGCAAAGTCATGGAGAAGATTGTCAGGAGAAGAGTGGTGGAACACCTAGAAAGGAATGATCTCATCAACAGCACCCAACATGGTTTCAGGGATGGGAAATCGTGTGTCACAAACCTACTGGAGTTCTATGACAAGGTGACAGCAGTAAGAGAAGAGAGAGAGGGGTGGGTGGATTGCATTTTCTTGGACTGCAAGAAGGCGTTTGACACAGTACTACACAAGAGATTAGTGCAAAAACTGGAGAACCAAGCAGGGATAACAGGGAAGGCACTACAATGGATCAGGGAATATTTGTCAGGAAGACCGCAGACGGAGTACAGTCTAGGGGGCCAGAGACTACAAACCTCACTCAAGGAAAAAGATCTTGGGGTGAGTATAACACCAGGCACATCTCCTGAAGCGCACATCAACCAAATAACTGCTGCAGCATATGGGCCCCTGGCAAACCTCAGAACAGCATTCCGACACCTTAATGAGGAGTCGTTCAGGACCCTGTACACCGTGTAAGTTAGGCCCATATTGGAGTATGCGGCACCAGTTTGGAACCCACACCTAGCCAAGCATGTAAAGAAGACTAGTCCCAGAGCTAAGAGGTATGTCCTACGAGGAGAGGTTAAGGGAAATCAACCTGACGACACTGGAGGACAGGAGAGATAGGGGGGACATGATAACGACTTACAAAATACTGAGATGAATGGACAAGGTGGACAAAGACAGGATGTTCCAGAGACTGGACACAGCAACACGGGGACACTGTTGGAAGCTGAAGACACAGATGAATCAAAGGGATGTTAGGAAGTATTTCTTCAGCCACAGAGTAGTCAGGAAGTGGAATAGTTTGGGAAGCGATGTAGTGGAGGCAGGATCCATACATAGCTTTAAGCAGAGGTACGATAAAGCTCATGGTTCAGGGAGAGTGACCTAGTAGCGACCAGAGAAGAGGCGGGG